CCCTGCCACGCTATCCGTGAATTTCTGCAACATCAGAGGATTTCATTCGATGGTTAACGAAGTCCACTAGGTACCATCTGAAAACGGCGAAGCCGACCTTGCTCTTTCCAACCGAGACGTAGGTGTGCTCTCCCGTCGATACTCTTTACTATCCGGGGTACAAATTATAACACTTGTACCTCGGGCTGGAGTTTGCGTATACGTCAGAGAGGACAGCTGTTCTCAGTCAGTCTAGAAGGTCAGCGACGACCATCGCGTCTACGGGTGCCTCTATAGGTAATGCCGACACAGATCAACTCATCGACTACGTCTAAATCGCTGCAGACTCCGTGCTACAACAGGTACCACCTGCAGAGATCGTGATCCTTGGTGATTTTAAGGGCCACCGCGCTGAATGGCTTGGTTCTCGTTTAACCGATCATGCGGGAAGATCTGTTTATGAGTTTACCTTGGCCCTACACAAATGGTTACTTTACCTACGCGGATTCTAGATGTGGAGGATCGTGCACCTTCCCTGTAGGGCTGTTTCTTCTGTTTCTGTGTTTGGAACTATAAGTCGGCCGATTGGGACAGGATGCGGTCTTTTTATGCATCCTTCCCTTGAGGACAGGGGCGGGTATGCTTCTCGTTGGATGATCCCAATTTGATTCTGTCGCTGATGTCGTACTACAGGGAATGGAACTTTTTATTCTATCATATGTAGTGCCTGGTTTGGTCGCTCCTGTAAAAATGTATCGCGCTATAATAGAAGTGCTTCACCAGCGCTGCTAAAAAGAAGTATGATTTCGCCTTCATGTCGGTACGATACGGTTTACACAGCGCTCGGTGCGCATAGATCATCCCTAGACGTCAAGTCGAGTGGGCCTGATGGAGTTCCTCCCATTGTGCTGAAGACGTGTGCTCCCTAGTTGGCACCGGTCGTAACGTGTCTTTTCTAAAACTCTTTCTCCCTAGGCGTAGTCCCGAACTCAAATAAGATAGCTTTAGTGCACCAGATCCCCAAAAAATAACAGAAAATCGACCGCTCAGACCTATCCAACTTGTTCTCCAAAATAATGAAAACCATTGTGAACTGCTAGTTCATGAGGTTGAGAATCACTAACTAAAAAGTGACCGCCAGTACGATTTCCGTCGGGGTTGCTCAGCTGGTGATCTTCTGGCATACCTGACTCATAAATCGGCTGAGGCAGAGAGGGAGACCCTGGCCGTTAGTTTGAACATTGCGAAGGCCTTCGATTGTGTTTGGCACAAAGCGCTTCTTTCGAAGCTCTCTTCCTATGGGCTTCCCGAGAATTTGTTCAACTAGATCAGCAGTTTTCTTGCAGATTGGAGCAACTAAGTCGTAACAGAAGATGCATGCTCCATTTACAAGCCTATTTATGCTGGTGTTCAATAAGGCTACGTGCTATCACCTACGCTGTTTCTTCTGCATCTCAATAATATGTTGCAAACCAGTAACGTGCACCGGTGATGCTTTATACACCGACTGTGCCTATGTTTCAACACACTTGTTGTGTAATGTCTTGGATTGGGGCAACTAAATCTAATTAAGTTCAATGCCCAGAAGACACAAGTTTGCGCGTTTACCACTAAAAAGAACACCTTTGCCATAACTCCTCAATTTCAGGGCACTCCCCTTGTTACCTCAGCCAGTATCGGAATCTTCGGCGTTGACATTTCGAATAACATGCAGTTCACTTGGAAGGTAAGGCTGAATTGGCCTCTTGCTTAGCGTGCTCCACAGAGCGGGACAGCATTTCATGGCGGCACATTGCTTGCAACTTTACAAGGGGCAAGTTCTGCCTAACATGGAATACTGTTTTTATCTCTGTGCGGGAGCTCCTTAGTACCAGCTCCTTCTACTCGGCCGCATCCAGTGCAGAGCGGCTCGAATCATCGACGACGAAGACGAGAAGAAGAGATGTTGCATCCCTTTGCATTTTCTATCGCATTTACCACTGGGAGTGTTCAGCGGAATTATTAGGATTAATTTCAGCCACAAAATTTCATCACCACTACTGTCGGGCCGATACGTCTTAGAGAGCTTCAAGAAACGAGCTTACTCCTTTTTAAAAAGCCGGCAACGCGCCTGCAATTCCCCTGGTGTTGTATTTGTTAATAGGCGGTGGTCGACACTTACCATCAGGTGAGCCGCATGCTCGTTTTTCCCACTCTTCTATATATAAAACACAATAAAACGAAGTAGACAAGTATTACCATTTGTTTTTAATGTGTGCAATAAACTTGTGTATTGTGCAATAAAGTGTAATTTATATTACATATTTTATTATTAGTGACCCCCTCCAAAATTTCAGTCTGCGACCGCGCCTGGTGCGAAGCCTGGGCAGATCGTTAGTCACCATATAAAATAGGGATTAAAATAAGATCCAACTCGCTTATATACCGTGTGTATGTGTCAAGACTTAGTATTCATACTTTTAAGCGAAACGAATATTTGCAATGTAATGTAATAATCATCACTTGGATTAGAAAACAATTTATTTGATAGTTCGAATAATAATGAGTCTAGTCCTATTTTCTTTATATTTTTAGACATATAATACAGTAATTAAAATAAATAACTAAACAAAAACTAGTATATCGATGTCGATTGTTGCTAACATTACGAGCGAAATCATTATAGATGTCATGTCTCGTAAAGTAAAGCCGCGTCTCCACCAAAGTTTTGTTGCCAACAAAACTTGTTTCCATTTTCGGCGACAACATGAAAGGAATAAGCTTGTTGCCAACATTTGTTCCCTCGGTGGAGACGCTTATTGGAAACAGTTGTAAACAGTTGGAAACATAACTGTTGTCAACATTTTTGGTGAATACGTGGCTTAACGTCATAGAGTATAATACTACTATAATAGGGATGTCATTTATCTAGTACATCAGATGATACGATTGTACTTACTCTCATATATTTGGCGTAGTATAATGAGACTAAAGATGACCACTTGACATTTCTATTTCACGCATAAATTACACGCAACATCTTTCCATAGATTTGTATCTTTTTGCTTTATTTGAAAATTAAATTAAAAATAATTTAATTAAGGTAAAGCGAGACAAGTATATTGTCTCAATTTATGTAGAATTTTAGGTTCTCTATGAATACGTATATGTGCGCTAGCACTTCTTATTAGCTTGTGAATATATGTAATTACTCATAGGACAGTTATTATACTCTTTGACTCTAAGTAACAGCCCGAAAACGCGTAACAAATTTTGATTTGTCATTGTGCGCGTTAGCTAGTGATGTACATTTTACTTACAAGGATAAAATGATTGTTAAAAACTATTTTGTCGCCTTACCAACATCTATAAGTGCCTCATATCTTCTAGTTCAGTATTCTTTAGAACATGAAACAAAAATGAACAAGCGGTGCTAGTTGCCAATAACGTCTTAAATAACCAAAATATATCTCTAGCTCTAGACTGAGTAGCAATGAAGTGCAGTGCAACATCATTACTGCTCAAAACAGAGATTGAGCTTCCTCGCAGAATGGTGAATGTTGACGAAGATTTATCCGAAGTAGGACCGGAGAAAATGACTCAGAACTCCAACTCCGGCGGCTCTGAAAGCTGAAGCGACACTGGGCCGGCTCGAAGCACTAAGAACATGAGGAAGAAAAGGGGGTTGCTTTAAGCGCGGCGCCCACCTAAGTAACGTAACGCGTGTGATTTGAGGCGTAACTTATCACTCGCCTCAACATTCAAAGCGATTGTATGTAGTAGCGCCCATTCGCGTGGCGTGACGCTGCATGACCTGACTTGCTATTCAGCTTGATACTAGTGACGCATTGAAGTGGCGCGTAGCATGAAACTTGTAGTGACTTGTCTGTACAAAATGAAAGTCGACCTAGCTTTGAATAATAAATTCATTGAGTAAGTTCATGAAACAGTAGGTAACAGGAACTCGCAAGATGCTTCTTGGAACTTGTAATGACTTGTCTATGCCAAATATAATTCTAATTTCTTCATAGCATAGAAAGTACCACCACTTTTCAATTTTCTTTTTCCTCAAAGGATGTACCCAAAATCTTCTGCTTGCATTTTGAATGTTTGGAATCTGTAGCAAAGCATGGTTGGTATGGTTATCCTCTTCAGACAACATTTTGGCTCAAACTGAATTTTTCGACATACTATGGTTGTACAGGTTGGTGCAAGCAGTGTCACTCGTGGTCACGTCAGAGCATCGTCAGAATCACGCTACAAACCATGTCGAAATCATGTAGCTTAGTTGGGCGCCACGGCTAAGTATCCTATACCACGAAAAATGAGGGAGTGGAAAGGGTGACCATACCCTGGGCTTCGCCACTTACGGATACTTACTAACTTTTCTATGCATTTTGGATATTTCATATTAAAAATTAGTTTTTAGAAATTAGTTGACTTGATAGAGGGTTGAGAGGGCGAGATCTCTGGCGCATCACCGGTCGATGCTGCAGCAAGCTCGCCTCGCTTGCTCGGCGTGCGTATTCTAATCACCAGTTACTTAAAACTTGATATTTCGATTACTCGATCTCAGATCGACATGGCTCAAAACTAAAAAATGCATTTAAACTCAAAACTTATAAAAAAAACTTGTGGGATTTACATGCGGTAGAAGCGAAACCCTCATTTTCCGAAGGCTTCGTAATACGAAGGCGCACACACACGTACAAATATACACACATGGTACGCTCAGACCAGAGTAAGTACATATTAGGCATTGAATGTAGGTACTATACACACTAACTCACTATACGACGCCTTTTTTCGCGGTTCGGCTCGGCAATATGTAGGCACACAAGCATAAATAAAATGTACAACGCTGCACCGCACAAAGAAGAGACCGATATAAAAGGAAACAATGTGTATTGTATTTTATCTCATTCTCTCGCAGACTAAATCCTATAGATAAGTTTTCACGTCAATAATTTCTTTAAAAGAATAATTTTTTCCGAGTTATAAGACGCGATTCTGTTATATTCGAAAAAAAAAAACACCTTATTATCAATAAATAATTTATTTAAAAACAATTACCAAGACATTTGATGGATAGTTAAAAAATGTTCGCAATAAATGATTTACGATAATTTACATAAAACGTATATAATTTTTAAACGCCATTTGTGATATTGTAAACGATCTAGAACTTCAATTTTGTCATGTTATCAATAGTGCAATGAAACAAATTAGTCTGCCAAGTGCAATCTTACAATATTAAAAACCACCATATTGATTTTGCATGGTTTGATCTTGTCATTAACTGTTCTTAATTTAAAAAAATATTCTTTTTCAACTTAATGTAAGGAATTTTCAGAAACAAATGATAGATTCTACTAAATTATCACTATCAGTTATACCCATAATAAAATAAAATATTTTTGTACATATACAGTGGTTGTGATGTTCTGGAATAAAGGTAAAAATTAAAATTATGCCTAACTATAACAACACTGAATCATGTTATATAAATTTTGTATTTATATAAGTATTTTTAAATACTTATATAATAGCTACATTTTCACCTACAATTAAATATACGTGATATAAATGTTTGCTGTTAACTTATCTTACTTGATGCTTAGCATTTGTTTTGTGACTATACTATACAATATTACAATCGTATTCAAATCAACAGCACAGTAATAAACATTTGAAGCAATTTTTATTCGAAGTTAAAATCCAGCAAGAATGTATTATAATTATTGGAAGGTTTTATAACCTAATAAGATATGAGTTAAAGAATCTTGAAAAAAACTAGCGACGTGTGAATAACATTTATAATAAAACATTGCTAAATTTACGTTAAGTATAAATTTAATTAAGCTATTTCACACTGTTTATTTAGTATTACCAAGATACGTACTGAATCATTTTACCACCCGTGAGGTAGCAAATGGAAAGTCATTTCTCAAAACTTTGTCACCAACTTGCGTCATTTCACTGCTGAACGTAAGCCTGATCTTAATAAAATATAGCGTTGCTTCGTAAGTAATTAAATGAAGCCCTTTTGCACCCATGCAGCGGTAGACATGAAATATTCACAATCTGTCTGGATGTGACCCGTCCATTTTTAAACCTTCGGTTTCACCGCACTGTAGTCGTCCTACGCACTGGGGGTGTATATCCCGTGTTAGCATGTGTGGGAGACAAGTTAAGTAAAAAACATTATTGTCTTTTTAAATATATATTACGAGGTGAAGTCATATTATATATGTGTATAGTGTAGCATAATATAAGTTATGGAAGTAAGAAAAAAAATTTAGAGTGAATAAAGACTTATAAAATATAAAATTAAAATAATACAATATTTTGGTTTATTCAATTTTTAGAAACAGAATACAACAGTATCTGAAAATGTACTGAAACTGTTGAATCAAACTGATTCGGTTATTTTTAACATTAACGGACCTACTCCTTTATCCAATGAGGTGATGATATATTATAAAATGTCGGAGCAAATATTGCTATTATATGAAACATTCGAATGTAGAATCCATTGTGAAATAAAAACACAAGAATGTGCATATTTCTGTAGATCAGCAGCCTAGTAAGTCGCCGACGGCTCTTGTACCGCATTCACTGGCCCAGTACACGCCACCGCAACTGCTTATCAAGCCCCACACGTATGGTGTGAAGAATTCCTCAGGCCTTTCTTCTTCAACGTAACGGAATTTCAAATCTGGGAATTTCTGAAAATCACAAAGTATTAGTATAAGACCATGTTAGCTCCTAGGCTTTATCTATATAAATAAAATTATAGAGGTTTGCAGTTGTGTAAGAGTTATATAAGAAAGTTATATAAGGAAATATAATTACCCTTAGCCTATCACTTGACCACTGTTCGGCGCCTTTTTTGATGCACTGTAACACTTCTGTCACGCCGAGGTCGCCACCGGCGCCCTCTTGTACCCTCTGCAATCTTGTTGAAAAGTATCCTATTACCTGTTGACGAATGGATTCTATAAGAAATGGATTGCTTAAATATTGCTGCTTTCTATGTTCGAATAGATATAAAGTATGTCGGAGGTGTGTCTGGTTGTTTGTTAAGTATGTTGAATTGATAACGTCCGAAATAGTAAAAAATCACTTTATTTGATACAGTTACAAAAATGTTAATAAATTGTTATGAATGCACTCGACATTGTTGCGTAACGAAAATGCAATAAACAAATTGTTGGCGTAGCGCCAATTGCTGACAAAGGTGTTCAAAACAAAGTAATAAGTAATAAAGAAAGAATTAAGACATGTTTGAAACATCGCATACAACAGCAATAACATATTGACCAAAAAGGCATTGACTTATTTAATATCAAGGCAACTGTTATTAAAAGATTATGGCAGCACAAAGCTGAACGCACATTTGTCCGCACCGTACGTGCCGTACGCGCCGAACTTTACTGATGGCCTCACACTGGTACGTACGCACCGTCCGCGCCGTACGCAAATCTTTTGTATTGCCAACAACTTATGCAGTTATTTCCAACCACTGGTGTGAAACGGTACAGTGGCATTGATCGCTCGAAATCACAATGGAAAAAATATAGTAATAGCCTGCTTATTGGCAGAGAAAGAAAAAAATAAAATTCGAAGAAAAAGAAGATTCTGGATTCATAATATTAATTTGAAAAGACAATTGTATGGAGAATATTATACTTTATTTAAAGACTTATTAGATGATGATAAACGAAGATACTCGTATTTGCATTTAACATACGAGAAATTTCAAGAATTCCTACATATACTAAAACCATATCTTTCTATGGAAAACACAAGATTTAGAAGGCAAATTGAACCAGAGAAAAGACTTATTGTATACATATTTATCTTATGATTATGATTATTTTTCTAATAACACATAGCTGACGTGAAGCAATACATTAGATTTGATAAACCACAAATTCTCGCGAAAGAACATCGATTCCTGCCAAAGATGATACGTGAGGCTATTGAAATTAAAAAAAACATCATAATTTCAATAGAGAGGGAGGCTGGGTACTACCACCTTCTTGGGATCCTGTAATTCATAAAATTAAACTAAACCCAAGCATACCACTGCAAGACTTCAAGACACAGTTAGTTCATTCTGCGTAGATCGGACCAAAATTATTAATTAAAAAAGCTGAAGGTACTCCGGTTTAACTATGACATCGGGACGTCAATCATCTCAGTCCCCCGTGACCGCGGTTGCTGGAAAGCAACCGAAACGTCGGGAATATAAAATAAATTAATTAAACGTGATAATATCCGTAAAAATAGTTTTATTCAATGTGTAGTGTTCGCGTAAATATAAGAAATCATTATGACTTATTGTATGTTTGGGGTAAGTAATTTTATTGATAACTAGCTGCTCCCCGCGGCTTCGCCCGCGTGGAATATATTATGATATATTTGAATATTTTTGCGCGGAACCATATTATTTTTCTAATATAAAAGTTACAACTTATAACGTCAGCTATATAATAGTCCAAAATAATTTTATAGGGCGCGTGTTGAGACACAACCATCCGCCCGCTCGCGCGTTCTGTGTTCTAAGCCCGCGTGACAGTTAGCCTTTGTAATTATATCTTTCGGTGCGGCCATGGCGGCGGCGTTCGCATGGGGCGCGCGCGGTTCTGGGCATTATTATATTATTATTATAGGTACTTAGTGTTTACATTCGATTATGTTGAATGTATATTATATCTTATTATTATTATACCCACCTTTATTAATTACCTATGTATTAAGTAAAAAACTGTTATTTTGATATTACAAACAGACGTAATCAGGTATAATTGGGTTTTTGAATTAAAATTAACTATCAATTTTTTTTAGTTCAGTATTTAAATAATTTATCACTAAGTATTCTATTGATAATCCATGCAAAAAATAAATAAATTTAAATTGTTTATAATTAATTACGAATTCATTAAAAGTTATAAAAATACAAAAATTATCACGTAAGTCGAAACCACCAGTTATAGTGGAAAATCCACTAAGTTGGCAACATTAGACAACACTGAGTATCAGCACGCACCGAACGCACCGCGTTATATGATGTCATAAGCATGCGTCCTTCAATATTCGGATACCTACCGCATTTTGTAAAACTTGGCGCGTACGGTACGGACATATGTGCGTTCAGCTCAATGGTTTTAATTTACTTGGTTCCTCGAACACTAACATATTATTATCAAGGTGTCTTTTCATTAATTAATTATTTTATCAAAAGTTTACAAAAGCACATCTAACATACACTACGATAGAACCTTGAACTTTCGATAGTTATTGATAATTAATAACTATCTTTGTTGTTACTGACTATATATATAAAAATATATATTAAAGTGTTCAATAAAGTGTAAATAAATAACTATTTACTGAGGCTCAACATTTTTGCGACGCAGAGGACCGCGGGTTTGAATCCTGCACGGAACAAGTATTTGTATGGAATTGTACGGCCTACAAATAACTGTCCTTGTTAAAACTTATGTAGGTACTAGCTGTTCCCCGCGACTTCGATCGCGTGTTAGGGTTTTTATGTTTTTGTGCGGAACCCTTATTATTTTTCTAAAATAAAAGTAGCCTAAGTTACTCCTTATGCAATCAGCTATCTGCCAGTGAAAGTCCCGTCAAAATCGGTCCAGCCGTTTCGGAGATTACCCGGAACAAACAGACAGACAGACAGACAAAAATTTTAAAAATTGTAGTTTAGTTATAAGAACCGTATTTGCTTACATTGCATTTAGTAAAAAAAACTGTAATTTTTACATTACATACAGACACTTCGATTTTATTTATTTGTATAGATGTATAGATGTAAACTTTCTTCAAGGTACAGGAGAAAAACCTAGTGTGGGGGTGACGTTTAAAAAATATTCACTATCGATAAAACGTTGAACGTTGCATGAATAAAAAAAAAACAGATCAAGATCGGACATACGCACCATTTCAATGTTCTGTGCGATATGATGATGGTGCTGATGCTGCTGATGCTGGAATAGGTGTCGCTTGTGCAGCAACGCGTACACCAGGTTAAGGTTCGATGGCAGTTGGTGCGTGAGACAAGAATTAATGATCTCAAGCAACATGCGGATCACCTCGTCTAAAACTGCTATGTGGTCCATCTAAAAAAAAAAAAAACAATATATTTAAAGCATAGTTCGACATACCTACTACTATATTGGTATATTTTTACTTCGCTATCTGTAAACAATACATAACTAGACACGAGAACAGGAGGGTCGAATTTTGTAATTTACTTTAAACTTACTTCCTGATAAGCTAAAGATGAAGTGAAATATTGAATATAGCTCAGAATCGGATGACAACGTAAGAATAAACAAAGAAGAAGAAAAACATGTGGTGCAGTTCACACGCGGTAGAAGTGAAACATTCAGTCAAGCTATTTCTAATTTGTTTTGTGTGGTTAATTGTGTAACATACATGATTGTAAGCTGTTAATAAAAAAAAGTCCCGCTGGGTTTCTTGCTGGTTCTTCCCAGGATTTTTTCGAACCAGTGGTAATAAATATTGAATAAAAAAGTTTCTGTTTCTTTTTCAGAAAACTAAACTTCGAGATAGTGAAACGAATGCAGAGTATCAGAAATAGGGTAATTGTAGGGTTTATTTATTTTAATAATATTACCAAGTTTAAAAGTTATTTTACTTTTTATTCTACATAATATATTATATTACATATTATACAGACTCCGAAATTTCAATATCGTCATCGTAAGTACTTAAATATTTTCTAAGCAACTTCATCCATCACATGTATAATTTCCAAAAATAATAGGTAACACTGTATACTACAACGACTGTAAGTCGTAAGTAAGACTACGACAGTCTTACTTATGACACTGCTACACCACATTATTAATTTATTAGTATTAATGTTAATACCATAATATTATTAAAAAAAATTGACATTATAAAAATTTACTGTAACAAGGCAAAAAACATAATATAACTTATTATGTGAATTTAAGGCAACACAAACACGTATTTAAACGTATGTACGCAGGCACAAAAGGATGTAAGTTCGTAAACAAATATGCACACGTACTCAGAAACGAATTTAAAAAAATCTACTTACAATTTCTTCTGTTTTCTCTTCGGCGTGATGTGGCAATTCTAAAGTGTTAATATCTCCACCTGAAACACAATTGTTTATTAATTCTATTTTAGTCCCAATAATGGTATGTTCATCCATCCATCTATTATAGCCTATAAAGGTCCATTTCTGAACACAGACCTCCTCCATATATTGCCCCATAGGGTATTTGGGATTTTTCCGTAGTTTCCACGCTTGGCAGGCGAGTTGGCAATGGCAGTTTGTTATTATTTTAAGTTGTTATCAGGAAGATGCTACTGCCCATCAGTACAGGAACGATATGGGGTAGCGGATATTCCTACACCGCCACTACACTGTGACACATGGTAAGTTGTATCTTCATCGAGTTTTTGGCGGGAACTTGAACAGTGAAGGATTGCTGCTCCTGTATTGTTGTTTAAATAATGGTTTGAAGTGGATTTTGATAAGTAAAAGTGGTGCGATTTTGTGTATTAAGTGTCTGCGCATGTGAGCTGTTAGTGGAAGCGGTGAAACAAGTGCTCTGATGATGATGTAATTCTCAAATAAGGTGTCTGTCTGTTTAGGCACCTTGAGATACTATCGCCAATTATCAGCTGTCTGCTGTCTCAAGTTGCCGTCAAAATCTCCCAAGGGCTGCTCAATTTGATGTATCAACATATTGTGAAGCAGCGTACTATGAAGGATAATTATACATTGTAACTTTAGGCTCAGAAGGGCTAGAACCCAGAGCCGTAAGACCAGTTAAAAAATGTATCTTCATCAGCCTGTCAAAGTCTACTGTTGGATCCTGCTTCATCCACGTTCTACGTGCTCGGCGGTAAAGGAAAACATCGTGAGAAAACCTGCATGTCGAGAATTAAGGAAGAAATTGATAACATGTGAATTCTGCCAATACACATAAGGTTTCGTGGCGGGCACTTCTATGCCCTTAATCCCTCTTAGAAACGACATGAGACCTGCTCAAGCAGTGGGATGTATAATGTTGCAATTATAGCCAATTTTTTTTTACAAATAACACGCAATTTGAATTTATCGGTTTTTAGACTTATAAAAGTCGATTCGATTATGACAACTGTTCGTGATTGTCGTGATTATGATGATCGACATGACAACCGCCTGTCGGAAGCTGAAACCCGAATTAACCAAGTGAACAATCGGGTTGACAACGTGATGGATGACATGAAGAAAACGCTGGACGACTTCAAACTTGGGAATGGAATTACAGCTCCCGTGGTAGCTACAACACCTTCGCTACGTGGATTCAAAGTGCCACCGTTCGACGGGACTTCTTACTGGACGGCCTACAAAATCCAGTTCGAGACTGTCATGAAGGCGAACGGCTGGAATGAAAGTCAGGCCATGACTGCTCTTACCCTAGGTCCGCGTGACCAGGCCTTTACTGTTCTGGATGCTCTCGGTAAGGAAGTGACTTACGAGCAGCTCCAGGAACAAGTCTTTCGTGCGCAGCTCAAAGATCGCGTGCAACGCAGCAACGAAAACCTGCAGCAGTGGACCCTTGAGGTGGAGAAGCTGGTTCGAAAAGCATACAAGTCTGTACCTCCGCTCAATCTCTCGAATCTGGTGCAGACATTCATCGACGGCGTCCGCGACCTTGAAGTCAGAGCTGCTGTGAGGCTCGGGCACCACGAGACGCTTAAGGACGCGTTGGCCCATGCACTGGAAATGGAAGCCGTGCGACAGGATTATCGTTACTATCGCGTCAGGGAGGTTACAGCAGCTACAGTTCGCGACCGAAAGGGAAGGTGATCGATCTCGAGAAGGTAGTGCGGATAACAGCACCACCCAGCTGCAGCAGGAATACGACTTTATGATCGAACATCGCAGCGGGAACTCTCATGGCAATGGAGATGTATTGTCAAGAAAACCTTGCCCTGAAAATTGCAATCATTGTACTAGGCAAGAGGACAAGGAAGTGGTATCTGTGAGGATGCTCAGGACAGACCAGCTCAGCAATGAGTGGAAGGACAGCCTACAACATGGACAGTTGTCATTTGCAAATGGTTGTCCCTAAGGCTAAAGTACCGAATGTTCTACAGCTGTACCATAATGGTTGTTCAGGAGGCTACCTGGGTGTTAAACGAACTCTACTGAAGATCCGAGAACGGTTTTACTTGGTCAACTGTTGTGACGATGTCGAAGACTGGTGCCGCAAACAAGTTGTGCGGCTGTAAAGGGACCTCAAACTCATAGTAGAGGCGCTGTTCATGCACCTAGCTGTCCCTACAAAGATCTACCATACAGGGCCCATACAGCTGTTAGGTTCGACGGACAACAAAGGACGGGGCCCAACTGGCCTTATGGAAAATATCCTATCCTACTACACAATAGGGAGAAGGCTAGGTGAATAAATAGTACGTACCTGTTCAGAGGCAAAGAAGGCTCCCAGGGTTCATTCAGGCGTTAATTGTCGTGAAGGTAAGTAGTGTGTGAGAAGTGTATATTTGTGTAACCTAAATTAGCCCTTTTAATCAGCAGCCACCCTGACTCAGGCACCGCCCCCCGGCGTGGGATTCTCCAGCGGCGGTAGCAATAAAATTTATACGTGGTAGAGCCATGTTGCAGCTATATTATAGTTGTAGCACGAATGGGTCGGCTCGACCGGGGAAGGACCACGCTCTCACAGAATACCAGCGTAAAATAGCAGCTTGACGCTGTTGTGTTTCGTATGGTGAGCGTAGAGAACCGGCGACACTTTTTACTGGAAACGAGGCATTCACGGGTGACAACGCATCTGCATTTTGATTCGTAATCGAAGATAGATGTAGATGTCTATGGGCCACAGCAACCACTTACCATCAGGTGGACTGTGTGCTCGTTTGTCACCCTTATTCTATAAAAAAAATGGACTATTTCTTTCTTCAATTCACTATGTCAGTCTATCAACTTTATCGTACATTTAACTAACTTCAAGACGCAACTAAATCCCGTTAGTTATAATCAAAAAACGTAACTCGCGGCACGACGGATGACCGGTGGGTCAAAGTTCACTGACGTTCATTCCGCGACAAATTATTTCGAAAACCGAACGCGACCTTTTAAGGCGCTAAACGCAACGGTACAATTAAACACTAACTTCTCAATAATTAGCCAACCTGGCGTCTAATGTTCTGGACTACACAATTCTTCGTCGCTGCACAAATCCGTTAACAAAATCGGCGCTATTAGAGGCAACCACGCGGCTCGATTCGACTCACAGCAATTTAAATATTGCAAAATACACTTCAACGCGCAATCACTAATAGCGAATTTAAACGCGCACGAATACTAAAATCTAGACCACCACTGAAACTGGTCGCGCGAAAAAACGCTGCAGCGGTCACTACAAAATACGTGGATTAACCGCACCGCTGCTCTGAATCTACTGTCTCTCGCCCGCCAGCGCCAAACGCTGGGAAGCTGCCTTCCGCTGCCCCCTCCCCACAACGCGCGTGACACCTGGTACCATCGGGCGATTTGCTAAGTCGAACGTGATTGGGAGGCGCAATGAAATTGTACAATGTTGGTGCACCATGGGAGAGGATAGCCATTTACGTTGCGGGGCCGTTTCCGGAAAGTGAAGGTGGTAACAAGTATTTCATAGTTGTGATGGATTACTTCACTAAGTAGCCAGAAGTCTTCGCCATTCCAAATCAAGAAGCTTCAACAGTTGCAGATAAACTAGTTCATGAAGTCTTCTGTCGTTTTGGAGTACCTTTAGAGATTCACAGCGATCAACGTAGGAATTTTGAGTCTCAAATATTCCAGGAAACTTGCCGAGTTATGGGTACTCATAAAACAAGAACAACTTTTTACCACCCACAATCTGATGGAATGGTAGAACGATTTAATCAGACATTGTAGAGGTACCTAGCAAAAGTTGTGGATAAACGGCAACGAGACTGGGACAGACATATACAACCGTTTTTGTTGTCATATCGAAGCGCTGTTCACAAAAGTACATCAGTGACACCAGCTTTCGCAAACTTTGGGAGAAAATTACGGCTGCCTGCAGACCTGATCACCGGAATACCACCTGATGCCCCACGCAGTATAACCGATTATGCAAATGACTTGCGGAACAAAAAGAATGACATTTATGAGCACGTCAGACAGTCGGGCCAGCAAACGTCTGAGAAGATGAAAACACGGTATGACCGCAAAATAAACAACAAAGGGTTTTTTTTATAGGAAAGGGGGCAAACGAGCATGCGGCTCACCTGATGGTAAGTGACTACCGCCGCCCATGAACAACTGCAACACCAGGGAGGGAATTCCAGATGCGTTGCCGGCCTTTTAAAAAGGAGTAGGCTCTTTTCTTGAAGGTCCCAAAGTCGTATCGGTCGGGAAAAATCGCTGATGGTAATCGATTCCACAAGGATGTCGTGCGAGGAAGAAAACATCTTCTAAATCGCACAGTGGTGGAGCGCCAATCATCCAGATGGTGGATTAATCCGAACAATTACTCAGAGCACTCCCCGTGGTAGATGCGAAACAAAACGCAAAGAGATGCAACATCTCTTCGCAGTGCCTGAATCGAGCCGATCGGAAAGGACTCGGTCGTCGACGATTCGAGCCGCTCTGCGCTGGATGCGGTCAAGTGGAAGGAGCTGGCACTGGGGAGCCCCTGCCCAGAGATGGGAACAGTATTCCGTGTGAAGCCGAACCTGCGCCTTGTAAAGTTGCAGGCGGTGTGCCGGCATGAAATACTGTCCCGCTCTGCTGAGCACGCCAAGCTTTTTAGAGGCCAATTTGGCCTTCTCTTCCAAGTGACCACGAAACTGCACGTCACTCGATATGTCGACTCCGAGGATTCCGATACTGGCTGAGGCAGGAAGGGGAGTACCTCGAAACTGAGGAGATACAACAAATGGGTTCTTTTTAGCGGTAAACGCGCAAACTTGTGTCTTCTGAGGATACTGTTCCCATCTCTGGGCTGGGGCTCCCCAGTGCCAGCTTCTTCCACCTGACCGCATCCAGCGCAGAGCGGCTCGAATCGTCGACGACCAAGTCCTTTCCGATCGGCTCGACTCATTGGCACTGCGAAGAGATGTTGCATCTCTTAGCATTTTCTTTCGCATTTACCATGGGGAGTGCTCTGAGGAATTGTTCGGATTAATCCCAGCCGCCAAATTTCACGAACGCACATCGCGGCAGAACTCCCGATACCATCCACACCATCTGGATGATTGGCGGTCCACCACTGTGCGATTTAGAAGATGTTTTCTTCCTCGCACAACTTCCTTGTGGAATAGTTTACCACCAGCGATTTTTCCGGACCGATACGACTTAGGGACCTTCAAGAAAAGAGCCTACTCCTTTTTAAAAGGCCGGCAACGCATCTGCAATTCCCCTGGTGTTGCGGTTGTTCATGGGCGGCGGTAGTCACTTACCATCAGGTGAGCCGCATGCTCGTTTGCCCCCTCTCCTATAAAAAAAAAAAAAATTAAACTGGACTAGATTTAGTGCCCCCAATCCGAGAGTCTGTTCAACAAAGACTCGACTTCAGACACAAGTTTGTTCCGGTACTCGGCGACGTTTTCCCGAGAAATATTGGCATGGCCAGTGTATAGAGCATCACCAGTACTGTCATCCGCATAGCAATGAATGTTACCAGTTAGCAACATGTCATTGATATGCAGAAGAAACAGCGTTGGTGATAACACACAGCCTTGTGGAATACCAGCGTTAATATGCTTGTAGTCGGAGCATGCACCGTCTACAACGACCGTGATGCTCCGATCTGCAAGGAAGCTGGTGATCCAATTGCACAATTTCTCGGGAAGCCCATAGGAAGGGAGCTTCGAAAGAAGCGCTTTGTGCCAAACCCGATCGAAGGCCTTCGCAATTTCCAAACTAACGGCCAACGCCTCCCCCTTGGACTCTACTGCCTCCGCCCATCTATGGGTCAGGTAGACCAGAAGATCACCAGCTGATCGACCCCGACGAAAACCGTATTGGCGGTCACTAATTAGATGGTGATCCTCAAGGTACCGCATGAGCTGGCAGTTGATAATGGATTCCATTATTTTGGAGAACAAGGAGGTGATGGCGATAGGCCTATAGTTGGACGGGTCTGAGCGGTCGTCGTTTTTAGGGATCGGGTGGACAAAAGCTGTCTTCCATGAATTAGAGACTACGCTTTGGGAGTAGGAGTACCGGAAAAGACGCGTTAGGACCGGTGCCAACTCTGGAGCACACGTCCTCAGCACAATTGGGGGATTCCGTCAGGCCCACTCGACTTCTGGATGTCCAGGGAGAGGAGTGCTTTGCGAACCGAGCGCTGTGAGAACAGCACATCCGGCATGGAGCACTCACACCGCGGGATGGTCGGCGGTGTATTTCCCCCCGTCATCAAGAGTCGAGTTGGACGCAAAAAGGGAGCCTAAAAGGTCGGCTTTGTCTTTTGCGGCTTGGGCCAGTTAGTCGTCCTCCCTGTGCAGAGATGGTAGTGATGGCTTACAGAAATTCCCTTGGACAGCCTTGGCGAGAGGGTTCCCGAAGGAAGGCGAACTAGTTTCTCGCCAATTCTGCCTATGTGCTCTGACTTTGCCTTGGCAATAACTCTTTTGAAGGACTTGGAGGCGAAGTTATACTTTTTTTTGAGTGTGCTGGTGTTTATATTCCGAGTCGCCGAAGCCGCAGCCCAGGCTTGATAACACTCCTGCTTACTGCGTAATGCAGTCTTACAGGAGTGACCAAACCAAGGCTGAGATCTGCCTCCGATGGGTACCACAGATGTTGGAATAAATAGTTCCATTCCCTGTAGCACCACATCAGTGACAGAGTCAACAACAGCGCTGGGATCATCCGGCGAGAAGCAAACCCGCCCCCATGGGTAGGATGCAAAGAAAGACCGCATCCCGTCCCAATCCGCCGACCTGTAATGCCAAACACGGCGACAACCTGCAGAACGCAACCGCGAGGGGAGCGTGAGTGGCACCACACTCCGTATCAGACAATGGTCCGAAGAGCCGAGAGGGGCATCGACGGAAACCTGATATCCGTCCGGATGAGAGGTCAGCAGAAGGTCCAACAGGGAAGGTGTATGATCCTCCACATCTGGAATCCGCGTATCAGGGTTTGACGAAGGTTCACTGGTGTGGTTACACAAACCAGTTCGCATCAAAGGGAAATCTCCTAAGCTTCAAGCTAAATAGGACGGACCGTACCGGATTGTGACAAGGATCAATGACGTAACTTACCGGATACAGAAAGGTGCCAGAGGTACTCCTAAGATCGTCCATGTGGATCGACTGGCGCGTTATTATGGGGCCAATAATGCTTGGGACGAGCATGTCCAGTTTTAAATTAGACAATTTTTAACATTTTGTTCATACCTTCTATTTCACTGCATAGTCTTGATCTTCTCTTTGTTAATGTTTCAAATAAGGACACTAATCTCTGTGCTACATAAGGGTGTAAGTTTCTGAATTCACCTGAAACAAAACAAAATCATGTTTTTTTTCATTGGGTACTTTTCGACATGGGCCTTACACATTGTAGGAAGGATTACCGATACGCGGCGCGAGTAGTTATTTTCAAAAATGCTATACGTTTCATACCGTTCGCTCCGTATCGCCGTATCGTGCGATAGAGTGTTAAGTTTTGGAAGGAATTGCCTACATTTCCTTTCGGGCGATAAAGTTTTCACCCCCTTAAACCTTTACAAAATAAGACAATTTTAGTATAGTGATGTGTTATTATTTAGAAGGAAGTAGTATCTCCTATATCAATGGCATCTTGATAATAATGATCTTTATAAGTATTTTATTTTTGTTTTGACTACATCGGTACTCTACTAATAGTAAGGGCTGATCACGAGGTTCCAGGTTAGAATCCCAGGACCGTTTTGGGTTTTCTGTCACGAAATTCTCGGTCGCGATATTACAGGCCCGTAAAAAGCCGTTGGTCCTGCGACTTATCTTTATCTGGCTGTGTAAGATAACCGTCCCAGGACTATGAGAGTGAGGGAATAGAGAGTAAACAGTGAGTCTTGAGTTTAGTCTTCGATGAGACTGGCTGTTCCGACTGGAAATCCGACCACTCCGTGTACCGTGTCAGGTTCTCACTACACTAGGCTACGGTGCGGGATGGTGCAGGTGCAGGTGCACTGACAGCTCATGTTGGCGATGGCGGCCAGGCAGTTGGTGTGCAGGTACTTGTCGCGCACGCGCGCCAGGTTGTACTGCAGCGCGCGCACCACCACCAGCACCGCCAGCCCGCCCAGCGAGATCTCCGATATCGACCGCTCCGTGTACCACGTTAGGTTCTTCAACATCTGCAACGGACACCACTAAATGTATTTGAAGAAAGCTTAAAGTCTGGTCTGGGGGTTTTATATACATTTTTTAGATTTAAAATAATCAGAGATCATTTAGTTTATCAATTTTCAATTTAGTCGAAAAAAATCCTCAAGTTTTACTGATGAAACACATAACTTAGATCCCTCTTGGCATTGCTCTCCGTCTGTCCGTAAAGTTTCATTATAAGCGGTTCAGCCATTCTGAACCGGACAGACAGACAAAATTAATCATCACTACAATCCTTCACAAGACAGCAAGGTTCAGCAGTACCTACCCCAAGGAATGCCAAAAAGCACGATCCCGAGCCACCCGCATCCATCGACTTCCTGCATGTCTTACCAGGTCGTCACTCCATCTAGTGGGGGGATACCCTACACTTCGTCCGCCGGTACGAGGCCGCCACTCAAGAACCTTTTTTCACATCGGTTGTCGGTTCTTCGAGCTATATGGCCGGCCCATAGCCACTTCAGCTTGCTAATCCGTTGGGCTATGTCGGTAACTCTGATTCTACTGCGGATATCCTCATTTCTAAGTTTATCATGCAGAGAAACTCCGAGCAACCTTGAACTTCCTCATCCAGCCAGCAATGAAGGACCGTCTCAATTCCTCAGGTCATCACTGGCAACACGCACTAGTTTTACAGTCTCGTTTTCAAGTTTTGACGTATACCTGACGAGAAGATGTGCAGCAATTTCCCGAACGCTGCCCAACCGAGTTGAATCTGTCGATTGACCTCTCGGTCGAAGTAGGATTTACATTGTCGGACTATTTGTCCCAGGTAAACATACTCGTCAACAACTTCGAGGTTAGTGCTCCCAACAATTACCGGCATAAGTGTGACATGGACATTAAACATGATTTTTGTTTTGTCTATGTGTTCATCTTAAGACTCGCCATTGATGTTAATACCGTATCCTTTCCAGTCCAGTAGCTTGAAAACGTCTTCCAATGCAGCGGTGAAGAGTTTCGGGGATATAACGTCACCCTATCTTACACCTCTCTGCAGTTGGATAGGTTTCGTACTCTGATTCTGTACTCGGATAGCCATCGTAGCCCTACCGTACAAACACTTCAGCATTTCGATATACCGACAGTCAACTTGGCACCGCTGCAGGGACTAGAGCACCGCCCAAATTTCGACGGAATCAAAGGCTTTCTCATAGCCAACATACGCAAGGCAAAGTGGCAGATTGTACTCTTCTGTCTTCTGTACAATTTGCCGAAGGGTGTGTATGTGGTCTATGGTGCTAGTCTTTTCGAAAACCGGCTTGTTCGGGAGACTGGAAGTCGTGGAGTCTGCGTGTGAAACGACTCGTAATGACTCTCGAAAACAGCAAGTAGACGCGGCTCAGAAGGGAAATCGGTCTGTAGTTCTTCAAGAGAGCGATATCACCTTTCTTGAAGAACAAGACAACCGCAGTTCTGCTCCACGCCTCCGGAGTAATGGAGGAAGGAATTAAAGAGCTTCTGAAGGACTTCAAGTACCGGTTTTCCACCCGCTTTCAGAGCTCTGCTGTAATTCCATCCTCACCTGGGGCCTTGCCATTTTTAAGGTGCTGGAAAGCCATTCTAATCTCGTTCCGGAATATCGTCGGAATAGTGTCGAATAAGACTTGCTCTTCGCTCGTTACTCACACTTGCGTGTGGCTCCAACGTTGACGTATACAGCTGCACATAGAACTTCCCAATCTCACTCAAAATCTCAGGTGCCCCGGAAACGATGCTGCCACACTCGGTCTTCAGCTTTGACAGTTGGCTCTTTCTGGCAGACAGATCTCTGGCAAAGACTTTGGAGCCTTGGTTCCGCTCGTTCGCTTCTTCAATACAAGCTGTATTGAAGTTGCGTAAGTCCCGCCGCATGCATTCTGAGATCCTTGGGACCAGGGGGATGAAACTGCCATACAAATTTACAAGAATAAAAATGCATTGAAAATTCTGCCCTCTAGTGAACAAGGTACATAAACTTCTAGGCTAGTTTTGTTCAGCGTTGTATAGATGGCGGTAATTTAGCCAAAACCCCAGAATCCAAAGCCAAAAAAACCTAAATCTATGGCAGTTTTGGTCTATGGTTATGGTTTACATACTCGGTTGACAGTTCTTTCTAATAAATACGAATATTATTCATATGATAATTCAGAAAACGAAAATATTTTGCAACTTTTCGTTCCTCTCGTGTGAATATCATAATTTAGGCTTTATGATTATTTACTAAATTTAACAATAAATGTGGTTGTTCACAGTTTATGCACCAATGTTAACAGGCTGCTAAATGGAAAATTATTAACTACTTATTTGTGATTGTGAAAATGATAATGTCAACACTCAAGCTATTCAATATTATAACATTCATAAAAGAAAATAAATACATAATTAAATTTCTGTTCAGTGTTTGATATTAATATTAAAATAAAATCTTATGTGAAATAGGTTAATTGTTAATGTTATCTGCAAAATTACTACTTGGCGATTTAAGATAATCATTGGAGATATCCAATAATTATCTGGTAGAATGCATAAACAGAAACATTATTAATAAAACTGCATAGTTCATAATTACCAATATAGTCATTGACAAAATACGCCATCTAGTGGTAACTATGTGGAAACTACCGCAAGCCGCGTTGTACTAAGGAATACAGCGGCATCTAGCGTACACGGTACACCCATTCGAAAACTGAAATGTGAGTGGCGCATCTATCCCTGGTATATAGTGTATTATCTATGCTTGGGACAGATGGTCGCCCTCCCGGTGATAGAATAAGTTGTAGGATTCGAGGATTACCGTGTCGTCGCCCTCTCTTCGGAACTCGGATAATCCTATAATATTCCAGCGCAACTTGTCTATCTCTACTTCCAGCTCCAGGATCTTCTCGTCAGTCCTCAAGGTGCGTGCGTTATAAGTTGCCAGGTCGAGTCATCGTACGTGGCAACCGAACCTCCACAGGAGATTCTTAGCATCTCCTGCCCCGCCGTTACCAACTCGTAACTTAATTCACTGTGGGGTATATTGCCATATTTGACACGCTTGGCGAGCGGGTTGGCAACCGCAGTTTTTTTATTGTCGTATTGTTATTATCAGGAAGATACTGTTGCCCATCTCCTGCCTGTTTCCCACTGTCGCCTCTTACGACACTCACGGGAAGATATGGGGTACTGGATATTCTTAACCGCCCCTACACGGCACAGACAAAATTAATATAAAAGGTTGTTGTTAATAGCATGCAAATAACCCCTTGATCTTAATAGAAGGCAGTTATTTCAATATTACAAACAGACACTTAAATTTTATTTTTATATATAGATAATATTCGGTTTAATTTGCATTAAATATGACAGTGTGACAACTTACAATCAAGTGTACGTTTTTGATGAGAGAGTCGTCTTCAGTAAGTATCAATAAAACTATCAATGACATGTATATATGATGTGAATTACTATCCGGTGCGTTGTATAACACTTGTAGTATTGGTACTATCTGAAACAAATACAATTATATTAAAATTATGTTATGTGGATTAAATTAAGGTAAAATAAATATTAGCACATGCTCAGTGGCGAGAGAAACTTACAAATCTTTTTAGATATCTGAGCTGCAAGTTTGAAGAATAGGTTTTTAACGATCGATAGCTGTCGCGTCTGTACCCGAACGAAGGAGCTAGATAACCGATAGCGACTACCAACTACAGCTTGAACTGATTACCTATGAAATATTGACGTCAAAATAATCGTAGCATATTCCCTCGTTTCCTCCACCAAAACTGAACCGATTTTAATTTTTTTTTCCAAGCACAATTCTGTATGTATTTTTAAATTATTTTTTTTGTTTTTAAATTTCCTAAATGTTCAGCTATAAACTTAATATGTAAAACCGAAATAAATAAATAGATAAACAAAAATAAAAATCTTATGTATATATTTTTGAGTAATAAAGTTTTTATATAAATTAAGACGGAAAACCGACCATGTTTTAAAACTTTACTTAAAGTAGCAAATTTGTTAGAGGATGTATTTATTGATGTCGACTACCCAATTGTTAATTCTTCAATAGTCTATAATTATTGTATCTTCATACAAAATATATTTTATAGAAACTTACGATATTGTTGAAAACACTCACCAAATTCTCTACATGTGCAACGTTGCTCACGTGCCTTTTGTACGCTTTACAGGAATGTAACATTAAATATAGAAGAAGCGTGGAGTGTTCGCAACCCGCTGTTGCACACAGCGCCTTGTGGAGCTATGAATAAAAAGATTTAAATTAATTACACATTTTCATATACATTTAATGGATACAAAACGGGAACTGAATATTTAAGTAACTATAACAACGTAGTAGATGGGTTGGAGTATAACAACTTTCGGGCATAGATAACAACAACTCTATGAAATCTACGAACCAAATTCTAATCTATGCTATGAATTATAAATTCGTATTTGATATTACACTAATAATTATTATTATTACGGTGCGTACACATTATATGACATAACATGTTATAAAACGTTGTTATATAACATGTTTCAGTAATGTGGAGGCCTAATGTTATAAAACGTGTTATTTAACTTGACACAAATGTTACATACCTCGAACGGCAGAACGACAAAAGACAATGTCATATAACATTGCTATATTTCATTGTTATTCTAATGTGTACAGTATTGTTATATGTTTCAATGTTGAAAAACAATGTTACATAATGTGGACGTGTTATAAAACACAAGTTATACAACATGTTACTTGATCTGTACGCACCCTTAAACATTTCTATTTTAAACTTTCAGATTGTGTGCCCTAATTTTATAATTTACATAATATTCTGCTTTTAAACAAAATGTATTTAACTAAAAAACATGAACATTATTTTAAATAAACCACAGGAGGTTAGTAATTATTTCATACAATGGGGTTTTCTCAGATAGAAACAAAGTATTGATAAATTATTTCTTACTGCTGCCATGTCTATTCGTGGTGGTGTGACCTGTGCTGTACCACTGGAGTCCCTTTGTGGAGTCGTTGCTGATGTCTCTGTAAGTGTTCATTTTTTTTATTTTATTCTGACAAAAAAGAAACAGTTATGCTTTATGGTTTATTATACAAGTAAATTACATTATGCTAATCTATAATGTGTGTGTGTGTTTTTTTTTCAGACTTATATTTTAGACAGTTGGGCAAGATAGGAATGGTAATTATGAAATAACAGAACCTGTTAAATTAAAGAATTCAATTGATTATTTTGTTTTAGACTTTTTTGATTACGATTAAATTACAATGAAATGTGATATGTCAGGTGTAACGAGGTGTGTGCTAAGTGAAAGTTTTTGTGTGTGTGTATGTAAATAATAAAACCAAAAAATGACTAAAACAAGGCAAATGATACGGGATAAAGAATGTAAACAAATTTTCAGAGGTTGGTAACATTTTTTATAATGATAATATCTAGACTTACAACGAATACTCGGTATTCGACTATTAATATCCCATTCGGTCAAATACCGAATATCTAGGTACTATTCGGCCGAATACCGAAGAGTAAGAGGTTTTATTGTAGTTAGATAATTGGTAAAATGAATGTTTTCTTGTAATCATTAAAGTAGTACATAAAAATACACAAGTACATAATCAACTTCCATAATACAAAAATTAAAAAAGAACTATCAGATAAATGTGTATGCACTAGAATAATCATAATTAAAGTGGAAGATAATGGTGCAGAAAGACGAATTTTTGCTTCATTTTATCCCAGCTTCAGAGAATAGACGCTCTGAAGAATAAACACTACTTTCTTCCCGGCCGAATACTTTTGCCTAATATTCGGCTATTCGACCAGGAAGTCCGCAGAATATTCGTTATTCGGCGAGTAGCTGAATATACTATTTGTTGCAAGTCTCTAATAAATTGAGCAAATAGAAAAATTCCAAAAGAAGAAGGTACCGATAATTCACCTGCCGTGTCCTCGCAACAAAGTAGCGCGTTCCTATACAGATTGTCTTGCGTCATGCAGTGGTTCGCCAAAGCCAGCAGCAACAAGCACGACTGGTTAGCAACGCCGTGTTCTCGTTTTAGTCGCTCCAGCAACTCGGTGCGATCGAGAGGTGGGTGGCTGTAAATCGTTTGACGGGAGTTCGCACCGAATGTCAGCATGCTCCAAAGCCCCGCTGAAATTAAAAATAACCTTTTTAACGTCATTTAAAAAACAGAATACCAGTAACGCTATAGACATTACTTAATACTCCCGATAAACATTCCAAGTAAGTTTATATGCTTGTGTTAGAAGTGGTTCACCACAGAAGTCGAATGGCGAATTCATATCCACGTCTTTTTAAAAGCACTCCACACCATTTTGATTACAGTCGCTTCAATCCAACATAATAATATATTCATTTCCTTATCACTTAACATTATCCGTATATTTTAACTTTCGAATAACATTGAAAGCTAAATGGTCGTGTTCCGATATACACTGCGAGCGCTACTCAGTGCTCTCAACTGGTGAAAAATTCGTTCAGTTATGGGCTGCCATTATACTGCCGGAGAACCCTAGTGAAATATAATATGACGTCATAAATTACCGCTATTTTTATACTGTGAGCTCTGGCACTTTCGAGATAAAATGCTTCTCAATACTTTGATCGTGTGATCACGTACTTTATTTAATTGAAATAATATTTTTTCTTGTTGAACAGAAAACGTGTACATAATTATGTGGGCTCCAGCCAGAGGTTGCAAAAAAAAGCAATCTTTATTTAATATATATTTAATTTAAAGTAATTATTACAATTAATTCTTATAACTAAGTGAGGTGACTCTAATTCGATGTTTGAATGTAGAATGGATTCACACGGTAAAATATTAGATCCAGGTAATATAAGACAGTAGACACGTTATGCTGACACGGCGCCTCGTGATCGTCGTAAGCCGATGCAACGCAGCAGATTGCCTGGATTAGGGCTGCGTAACACCTCCCCCCGAAGAACAGCGACTATGGAAGACCTTGGTCGTGAATTGAGCTGGGAGTTGATCGGGATCAATCTTCTCAGTGTCTGGAACAGCGTATACCCTTAATGATTTAGGATGGTCCTCTTCTGAGTTCCTTTGCGTACCTCCAGTTGGCTTCGGCTTGTATCTTCTATAGAGTATGCATAGAATCAGTGCACCTGCACTTATTATTAATGCGTAAAATGGTATTGTAGTATGATATAGACTGTAGTCATCGTTTCTTCTTAAATTCAATGGCGATTGCTGGGATATTTTAGTGTTCGTTGCATGAAGATGTTGGAGGCTTATTGAATTTAGTTTATATGCCGATGCAGAAGATGGGATGCTGGTGTGTTCCTCAGGTATGTCCATTATCTTTAAGGCTTGTCCCTTCAATCGATCTTTAGTATTTGAGATCGAGAATAGTGGCGTTTCTATGTAGCATTTCAGAGGGACAATAACGAGATAACTACCTTGAAGTATTTTGTAGAGATCTTGTCCACAGGATAGATGTACTTTCGTTGGTGTGGGGAAAGTGATGGTGTAATGCTTGTCGTCCAGTTCTTCGTAAGCTGGTTTATCTAGGGTGACTGTATACGGGTTACATACTGCATTCGTCTGTTGTTTAGTGATGAGGTGATGGATGCAATCAGGGGATGTTTGACCTCTCAGGCTCCGCTTTTCTTTACAGATGTACCATTTACTGGTCTTCGGGCATTCTGCCTCTATGTACTGAAAATCTTTCTGATAAATGGCTAGGAATGGAAAGGGTGGTGTGAGGATTTCGTGTCTCTTGTTAGGAACAATAGATAACTTATACATATCATATATATGGGGTAATAGAATTGGGAACTTAAATACTATTACTATTTCATTTCCTACATAATATGAACCTAATCTAATAATATCATAATATTCCCTAATATCTAAATCTCCTACCTTTTTACTTCCATAAAGTTCGGTTGCTCTGTTAATCATTATTCGGATAGATTTTAAATTAACTATAGAGTGGTGCATAGTGTTAGCTCTTATAAATGCTAAGTTGTTCTGTAACTTAATTAATTCCTGTGAAATGGAATCAACGTTATCACTAAGGATCATTAGTACTTGTCCAAAATGGGCATATTTAATTAGGTCATAGTCTCTGGTAGCCTCGGATTGATTTATTTTACCTATTAGTATTTCTAATTTATTTTGATTATCTACAATGCTATCTATTATTCTGGAGTATTGATTTGATAAATCTTTAGTTAGGCTTACATGATTATTAAATTCCGTAACGATTTTATTTTCGTCTTCGTGGATGGATTTTATAGCACGATTAAAATGATCTGCATCTGTATAATCAAGGTTACCAGTTATACTTTTTATGATGGAACCGAGACCATCTACAAGTCCTCTTTTCTCACGGTTCGTTTTAAAGCTACTCAACTGTATGGTGACACTTTCAAGCTTATTTTTAAGATAATCAATATGAGGCTGAAATAACGAATTGGTTATGTTGTTAAGGTTAGGGCTAATACTGATTAACTGTGTTTTAACTGAATTTACTTTATCTCCTAATTCCTGGAGATTTACATATTGCAGAAATGCATGGTAGTGGGATAGGATTCGAGCGGGGCCTAATTTGAAGGGTAATATACCAGGTCCATCGCTAAGACTTTCAAGTCTTATCTCCTGCATTAGAGCTGGTCCCAGAAGGAGATGAAGTACCAGGAGAGTCCTGTAACAATTGGTTCGTTTTAGGTATTCTCTTCAATCGAGTTTTTGCTACGGGGCCTCGTTTTTTCTTTGTATAAATGTGAATTGGGAGGTTTGCCATTACTGTGTCGTGTGTGTATCGAGGAGCTAATTTCTGACGGGATGCGAATGGATTTTTTATAAAGATTTGTTGTTCCGGGGAATATTCAGCTTCCTGTTCTCGGTTTTTATTGCGAGTATTAGTCAAGTCTTTACGCATGTCGTTACATAGATCGTGAATAGTTTTATAGGTCTCAGTCATTCTGTCTTTGTGGTTTACGACGTACTGTTGAAGTAAGTGGGCGGACAGATCTATGTCAAAAGGATCGCGAGGGTCAAAATGTCCTGTAATTACTTCTATTGGTTTGCATTTTGTGAAGCTATGTATACTATGATTGTAAGCTAATAGGGCATAGGGCATAAGGTTAATAGCGGATTCATTCTTTTGATTTATCTTTAAAATACGGAGATGTTCTAATATGGTGGCGTGAAATCGTTCAACGATACCATTTTCGTTGGGTGCATGTGGGGCTACTCTATGGTGCTGAATTTTATGAAGTCTAACGAATTCTGCAATAAGTTGGTTGGTAAACTCAGGGCCGTTATCGGAAACTATGGTAATTGGAATTCCATGATGTGTGCAGAAAATAAGTAAAGCTTGTACTACACTGACAGCAGTGCCGTCTCGCAAATAATACGCCTGAGCATATTTAGAAAAACTATCTACTATTGTCAAATACTTTTCCCCTTGAATTGTTAATAGATCTACGTGAACTAGTTCAAAAGGCTTAGAAGCGGGTGGTACAATTTTAAATTTCTGTTTAACTGGACTGCGGTCGTATTTAGCTTGTCCGCATACTGTACAGTCATTAATAAATTTAGTAATATGCTCTCTCATTTTCGGCCAGTAATATTTGCGGGACAAAGCCGAGAAACACTCGTTAATGCCTCGATGGTTTGTCTTTCCATCGTGATATTTATGAATGATTTCTTGCTGTCTTAAATACTCCCTAACATTTTCCAATTCACTTTTTGTTAGAAAAAGGTTAAGAGATGAACTTTTAAAAGACTTTTGTATGATTGGTATGACAGTGTACATTGCAGAGTTTGGATTAATGAGTAATCCTGTCCTAATTTTCGGATGGACGTATTCTTTTATAGCATTAATGACATCCTCTTCTATGTTTGATTGAGCTATTTGTATCGTAATGCGTGTGTGTGTTTCGAGTGGTTTAGTGATAACTGGTCTAGCTTTTATGTCGCCTACTATATTTAAGATTATCTGTTTAGTGAACTTATTTAGCGGTTCGTCAGAAATGGGAACTTCCAGGATGGGGTTTTCTTTATCTGTATGAACGGTGATGGTTCTGGAATCGTCTGCGGCTTCGGTAGCCGTTATAGTCCTAGAGTCATCTAAAGTGTGCACCCCTTCGGAAGGGTTAGGTAAAATGGAAAGCAATTCATCTATTATGGGTCTTAGCTCGTCATTGTGAAGTTCGATGCGCGATAGTGCATCGGCATTCGTGTTGCACTTGCCTTGCTTATATACGACACTAAAGTCATATTCACTCAACTTAAGGCGCCATCTGGTTAGACGCGAATTGGGTTCTTTTAAGCTCATAATCCATTGTAAGGGTTTATGGTCTGTAATAATTTTGAACTTACGGCCGAATAAATAGGGACGGAAATACTTAGTCGCCCATACGATAGCTAAAAGTTCCTTTTCTATCGTGCTATAGTTACTTTCGCTGGAGTTAAGTGTACGAGAAGCATATGCAATGGGTTTATCTGAACCGACTGTTCCCTGTGATAAAACTGCACCAATCGCCACGTTTGAGGCATCGGTTGTCAAAATAAAATCTCTACTGAAGTCTGGATACTGTAAGATTGGGTCATTTGTTAAGAGAGTTTTACAGTGTTCAAAGCAGTTAATATAATTTTGATCTAATGTTATCTTTGATCCCTTTTTAAGACATTGAGTGAGTGGTTTTGTGAGACGTGCGAAGTCTGGTATAAATTTTCTATAATATCCTAGAAGTCCTAGAAAACGCTTAATTTCGGTTGTAGTTTTTGGCAGTGGGTACTTTTCGATGGCTTTAATTTTGTCTGGGTTGGGTTTAACCCCGTTTTTACAAATAACATGACCTAGAAACTCGGTTTCCAGCTTCAAAAACTCTGATTTATCCATCTGAATTTTGAAGTTGGATTCCCGTAGCCTTTTGAATACTTTTTCCAGATTTGTCATATGTTCTTGTAATGATGTGCTGAAGACAATTATGTCATCTAGATACACTAAACAAATTTCGTTCTGTAAGTTCTTTAATACGTTGTCCATCACCCTTTGGAAGGTCGATGGACTATTTTTCAGGCCCATTGGCATCTTAAGAAATTCGTAATGCCCATTCTCTACATTAAAAGCAGTTTTGTGAATATCCGCGGGATCCATTTCTACCTGATAGAATCCACTGGCTAAATCGAGCGTGGTGAAGTACTGACATTTGCCCAGTTTGTCTAGAACATCGGTTATATTAGGAATAGGATATTTGTCATCGACTGTCTTTTCGTTCACCTTCCTGAAGTCCACAACAAGACGCCATTTTATTTTGCCGGAAGCGTCCGCCTTTTTGGGTACAATCCAAATAGGAGAGCTCCAAGCAGAATCCGATGGTCTAATTATATTTTGCTCGAGCATCTTATTGATCTGGTCTCGGACTTCCTGTCGGTGGACATACGGGTATCTGTAGCTCTTAGTATGTACGGGGATTTCATCATGTGTTTTAATTCTATGTTTGATCTTGTTGGTGAATGTTAAAGGTTCACCATCAAGGTAAAACACGTCGGCATACGAGGCACATAACCGTTGTAGGTTTGCTAGCTCTTCAGGATTAAGATGATCGGTGCGAAGACGGGATAGAACATTTTTAGCGCGATCCGATAACGTTTCAGTAAACTGGCACTCGACATTATATATTTCGGCTTCTACCGGACGGTCCATTGAAAAAATTACATCATTTGAGCTATTATTGGTAATTTCGACCCAACCACGATTATTAATTACTTTCGTTATACAATCAGAGATTATGCAGTTGCAAATTATTTGATTTTCAACTACTACGTCACCGTCCTTTGAGTTTATAGGCAACCTAACTAATTTTGATGACTGCGCGGGTATAATTTCTTCATATAAATTTGCGTTACGTGAGTCATACATTTCGATGGGGATTTTTGCGTTACGAGTAATAAGTAATTTATTTCTAAGATCGATATTAGAACCCCATATGTCTAGTAAATCAAACCCTATCAGTCCGTCGAAGTAATTATGAAATCTATAAATGAACAAGGTTATATTATCTCGTTCATTAAATTCTAAAGGGCATGGGAGAGTTATAGAATAATCGTTTTTACTTGTCGCGTGAACATTGGTGACTTCGAATGGGTCATAATTCAGTGGAATATGGCTAAAATATTTTCTTACAGCTTCGGGACTAATAAACGATTGGTTTGCGCCGGTGTCTATTAAGAATTTCAGTGGGGGATTACTTGTCTGAATGTAACCGAGTTGCCTTTGTATGTGGAAATTTATTTCTATTTTTGTTTTTCTGGTTTGGGGCACTTCCGAAAATCCTCATCATTAGTCGGGGTGAAATTAGTCTCTACTTCCTCTACGATAGGAGCTTCCGCGTGGTTATACGGTGGCTCGTATCCATAGTTAGGATATTGTTCGTAAGTACAGTACTCTTGATTATAGTTATAGTCAGGATAGTCGTATTCATAGTACGCGTCGGTGCTATAGTCGTAGTCAAAATCCGTCTCGTTAAAGTTTACCTCCCGTGTTTTAAAGTAATTGCTCGGCGGTGGGTTGCCAAATCGTCTCCAGTCATGTCCAGTCGGTGGTAAGGGTTTCGGAACAAAGGGAGTGACACCGCTCATAGGAGAAGGGCGCGAATTATTATTTAAATTGAAGCCCTGTGGTTGCTGAGGTCTGTTAGGAAGCTTAAACACATTACTCTGGGGGTTATAATTTGGTGGAGGAGCACGCATCATCTGTTGCGTACGAGTGGGTCCGCGTGGTACATGCATCTGGGGTGGTAGATTGGGCCTCCAACCCTGTGCAGCATGCGGTTGCATAGGTGGCTGTCTAAATGAGTTCAGTATATTATTACCCTGTGGTCTAGGTAGTGACGGCATGTTAAACGTGGTAGGTTTTGGAAGGAAATTATTTAATGGTAGGCTATGTGAAGGTTGAGTCCATTCCTTCTTGTTCTGGCTGCCTTCATTTCGTTGTTGGAGGTAAAGGGTGTTTAATTCCTCCTGTACGAATTCAAGTGCTTTCTCCATACTTTCGGGACGCATACATCTTATTCTAGACCCTAGGGGGTCTTTTAATCCGCGTAAATAAGCTTGCAAGGTCAGTTTTTTATAGAGTGCGCGCTTAGCTTCAATTGTCGTACTAATGGTTTCATGTAAAGTGACATAGGTCATTATTGTACTAAATAAACTTTGGACTCGCTCGTAAAATTCTTGCGGGGTACTAGACCCTTGGGTTTGTAGTGATAAATCACTGTATAATGCGGTTTCGTCGCGATGGTCGGCGAAGTTATTTATAAGAGCGCTTTTGATGCCGGCCCAGGTTTCGGGTATTCCATTCGAATTTATTAGCCTAGCCGCGGATCCCGTTATTTTATTTAAAATCCCGTTAATAAGAGAAAGATTGGCTAGTTCGTATCCGGGCTCATTTCTTACGTGGGCTAACACAAGTTGATCGCACAGGTTAATAAAGCGCGTAAGGATGTACGGGTTACCGTCAAATTCGGGCAAAACTCTAAGTGACTTATAAATTAGGTCTATTTCATTTGATTGGGCCATACTATCGGTCTCTAAACCTCTGTTCTCGTCTATAATACTAAGCTTAGAAATCCTACTACTATCTAACCTAACGTTCCGTGTTCCCCTTGGATGGAAAATTTTGGAAGCTTTATACTAACACAGTTAAAATGCAATAAAATACAATAGAAAAAAAAGGTGTATATAAAATTAGGATAGAGTAAAAAATTAATTACGGAACTAGGAAGGGTAAGGATTGAAAGATTCAAGCACTTACAGCATTACTTCTTCTTGCGGAATCAATGCCTGGATTCGCCTCTGGACTGGTGCTCCCGTAGGTTCTGTATCTTCTTGGTCACTCTTGATTCACTGACTCTACTTTAGAAGATCCTACCGACTGCGCCAATTATGTGGGCTCCAGCCAGAGGTTGCAAAAAAAAGCAATCTTTATTTAATATATATTTAATTTAAAGTAATTATTACAATTAATTCTTATAACTAAGTGAGGTGACTCTAATTCGATGTTTGAATGTAGAATGGATTCACACGGTAAAATATTAGATCCAGGTAATATAAGACAGTAGACACGTTATGCTGACACGGCGCCTCGTGATCGTCGTAAGCCGATGCAACGCAGCAGATTGCCTGGATTAGGGCTGCGTAACAACATGATAAATATTTTCATTTGAAAACAGTGTCGAAAAATGGGGATGACAGTATACTGGACTGCATTCCGTTTTATACAATAACAAGTATAGCAAATTAAAAAGGAACGGCTTCACAGTATACTGAATTGACGTCAGACCTTACAGTGGTCACAGCGTATATCAGAACACACCCAATATCTGCACAAGAGGTAATATTTATTATTTATTTATTTTTAAAAAACTTTACCCCCACACTAGCATTTTCTCCTGTATCGTGGAGGCAGTTTACAAACATAAATTGCACGAGGACAAACATCCAGACCCGGAACGATTATTTGTAGGCCATACAAATACTTGTTCCGTGCGGGATTCGAACCAGCCCCCAGTGCAACAACTCATTGCTAAGCTACTGCGCCACGGAGCCGTCAATATTGACTTAGTAGGAGGTAAACAACGGACCCAAAAGAGAATTGTATTTTTTTTTCTTCAAAATGTTGGTTTAAGCTAAACCCCGCGGCGCTGCTGGAAAGACTTTTGAAGAATACGCATACTGGTATGTAGTCAATAAAAGTTTACCGATAATGGTTATACTGTCCCACATCATCAGTTTGTGACTTCGGCTTGGGATTTTTGAATATCATTGTCTGGCCATCTTCATTTACCAAGAACTACCGCATACTAGTTTTCTTTTTATTTTCTCTTTAGTTGTAATTTAGCAAGAAAATACAAACCCGAAAAAAATCTTGCAAAATATTCGATTTATAAAACACCTAGCGATCCGCCCCAGCTTCGCACGGTTGATTTTTGGATTGCGACAACAACGCCACCTACCGGGTACAATTGTGAATTTTCCATTCTCTAATCAACTTAATCACACGCACTAAATTTGATCAAAATCGGTCCAGCCGTTTAGGAGGAGTTCAGTCACATGCACAAGGACAAAAGATTTATATAGGATTATTTTTCAAAGAGTAAGTAGGCAAATATTAAACTTTAGTTCAAATATATAAATAATGATATATCGTTATAGCAGTTTTTGAAAACACGAGTAAACAAGGCTTCTACTTTTATTTGAAACTATCCCAAATCAAATGTGATTTATGAATAACAATGTTTTTGTCTACAGATCGACCCTTACGAATGTGTGCGTGCGCAGTAAAATCAGTTGAAATAATGCATTACCACGCATTTTGAATATAAACGATAAAAAGGAAAGAATATGTTAAAAAAAAATTTTCTTCACCATTTGCTCTACATTACTTATTCTGAACCTTCTCTGCAAATTTGGCCGGTTATTGCATAATAACCCTGTATAATATATAATATGCATGTATTAAACATAATATAAACCTTCCTCTTGACTCATTCTGTCTATTGCATGAAAACCACATCAAAATACGTTGCGTAGTTTAAAAGATCTAAGCATACAGACGGCGGGAAGCGACATCGTTTTATACTATGTAATAAAACAAATGGGGTTAGGTAAGGGTAGAGCAATGGTGGCTACAATAAAGTCAAGAACTTGATAGCTGTCGACATTGATGTTTGTATCTCATTTTATTATTAATTTATCAGCCACAGTCAAGACAATATTTCCTACCGATAATTAGATGAACCCTTAAACACATATTCCAACTAATACTTACTGGCCAGATTAACTAAAAGGCTTTCACCGGAGCTCGTCCCAAACATGCTAGGTGGAGCTGGCGCCATGTTGGAAAGATTCATTAGTAAAGTTTTGACTAGAAGTGGCGCGTGCATACCGTAACGGCCTTGGAATAGTGTTCTGAAACAAAAACAATTTTTTTAATTATTATAAAACATATCTTGACATAACTTGTTGTATCGTTTATATATTTTTAATCACATTCTCTTGGTTTATCGCCAGTATTACAAGAATAATTTTAAGTGCCACAAATGTCTGTATTTAAAGTAGGTAGTTGTCTAAATGTGTATAATAATTTCCCTATTCACATTTCAAAACAAGTAATCTACAAATTTCAATGATCTAAATAACTATATACGTTTTGTACGTGGTAGCACCATGCTGCAGCTATATTAGTGGTATAGTTGTAGCGCGAATGGATCGGCTCGACCGGGGAACGACCACGCTCTCACAGAATACCAGCGTAATATGGCAGCTTGACACTGCTGCGTTTCGTATGGTGAGTGTAGAGAACCGGAGACCCATTTTACTGGAAAAGAGGCATTCCATCTTAGTCCTCACGGGTAACGAAGCATCTGCATTTTGATTTATTTATTGAGGATAAATGTATGCTCGTGGTATATTAGGCACTGCACTCCTTGCGGTATCTATAGGATCTATAGATAGTATAGGAACCGTTGATATAGAATGAAAAAACAAAATTAAAAAGGCATTAAGGTACATTTATTGAAATAAATTATAACAACAATAGACAATAAAACAAAATTAAACGTGGTAGAGCCATGCTGCAGCTATATTAGTAGTATAGTTGTAGGACGAACGGGTCGGCTCGACTAGGGAAGGACCACGCTCTCACAGAATACCAGCGTAAAATGGCAGGTTGACACTACTGTTTCGTATGGTGAGTGGTGAGAACCAGCGACCCATTTTACTGGAAAAGAGGCATTCCATCTTAGTTCTCACGGTTGACGACGCATCTGCATATTGATTCTTTGTTGAGGATATATGTAGATGTCTATGGGCCACAGCAACCACTTACCATCAGGTGGACTGTGCGCTCGTTTGTCACCGTTATTCTATAAAAAAAAAATTAGTAAAACTATATATTATCCGGCTCGAAGGATCACACGAATGCAAAAAGATTGGGTGTAGAAAATGTTATAAGTTTTTGTATACACTTTAAAGTAAAGACTTGTGTACGTTGCATTGTTGGGCACAGGCCTCCTCTGTTTTCTGAAATGATGTTATTCAGAAATTAGAATATGGAAAACAATCATTACCTGTATATGAGTGAGGTTTCCACTAGACGTGTTTGTCCGTGCACACCAGCAAACATGTATACGGACATTAGCACTAGTAATGTGTTTAAACATTCTAAGTGTAAGTAATATGTGTTGTCTCTGTAACAATAAGATAAAAAGGGTGTTAAACTTTCAAACTTGTATAAAATGATATTTCAGCGCATATAAGACATGCAGGAAGTCGATGGATGTAGGTGGCTCAAAACCGTGCTTTGTGGCATTTCTTTGGGGAGGCCTATGTTCAGCAGTGGACTTGTGAAGGGCTGTAATGATGATAATGATGATGGAACAGTAGCAATATTCGAGATTAAGAGACATTACCAGTATGCAAAAGGAGGCTCAAAAATTAGTCAATATCAGAAATTCAGAAAGGATTAATTTGGAAAACGGTTCACTAGTAGTTATTAAACTTCTCTCAGGTTGTGGGAGGGATTAGCTGTAAATGCTACATTGGGCAAAAGTTTTGAGGCTTTTCGACAACTACAGGACAAGATGCAGATGTTGTGAAAGTGTATCAGTATCAATTATAAGCCGGGATCTTTTTATATTAATATTTTATTTGAAGTAATAAAATATTATCACAATGTAGAAGTAGTTCACCAGTTGCAGAGTTATTCCCACCGGTAAACGATTCCAACCAGAGCTACACAATCGTACTACTGGTCAGAAGTGTATGAAGAGTCAGTATTTTAAACAATTGAAAGTGTAATATAGTAACCGATTACCATCATTATTATTAACCATCAGATAAACTCACTCAATTCATAAACCGTGTAGTGGCGGTGTAAGAATATCCACTACCCCATATCATCCCGTGGGTGTCGTAAGAGGCGACAGAGGCAAACAAATCAGGAGATGGGCAGCAACGTCTTCCTACGAAGGAACAAAAAACTGCGGTTTTGCAAACTATTGCAAATATCCTCCTATGAGGCAATCTATAGGGGAGGCCTATGTTCAGCAGTGAACTTTAATCGAATGTAATGGTAACGGAACTCAATCATTCATACATTCATTTCAACATTTCAGATGTCCACTGTTGAACTTAGGCCTTTCCTACTGATGGCCCCGTAGGGATCCCCCCTACGTGGCAATTTTGCCATAGTTGCAACCGCAGTTTTTATATTTTTTTTAGTTGTTATGAGGAAGATACTGCTTGCTTGTCTCCTGTTTCAGTTTCCCTCTGTTACCTCTTTAGACACTTACGGAACAATATGGTGTAGTGAATTCTCTTCACTATCACTACACTACACAGCACCATTAACTATCTGATGGGTTGTTAGCTCATACATCACTTTCCTTTTAACAAAAAAAAAATTACTAGTGAAGAAGATTAACCTATCGAATATTTCATTTCAAACTGTGCTATTTCAGCCACATCTTTCTTCACAATTTGCATCAAAAAAGTCTGCTAGACCGGGGACGGACCACGCTTGGACAGAATACCAGCGTGAAATAGCAGTATTATGCAGCCGCTTCGAGTGTATAAAACTGAAGAATTCCTTTTTACTAATAATGAGGCACTCTTTCTTTCTTTCCTTTCAATAGATTATCTTAAATAATTAATATTTTAAAACTGTTTTTGCATCAGTTTAATAGACAAACAAGGATTCTTCTTATTAGTGTGGACTTTACTTGGTTTTTGAATGAGGCAATAAGTAGGGAAGACTTACTACGTCATCTTATACCTGTGTCCAGATAATTATACAATAGATTTATTTAAAACTTACGTAACAGGTATATCAATAATTATTCCAATGAGAGCATCAATCAGCATCTCCACTCTACTTTCGCTCCCCATGAGTTTCGGCGAGGACGGAGCTTCGGCGACGGCAGGGGCTGAAGTCGGAGTTGGAGTCGGTGGGGAACTGGAAGATTCTGGACTCGGCAATCCAGGGGACTGCGACAAAAATTTGCCAATTAAAATTTTATAAAAACATTGCACACCTCAGAGGTTGAACCTGTCAAGGTCATGCGACTCATAAAAACATATACATACATTCATGCATACACACACATACATATTACTTACTGGAGTGCTATTTACGTCCCTCACATCTACTGGCCCGTTGGGAGCGCGGGCCGCATTCACGTCAAGGTGCCGGCACAGCTCGTACTCCGGCACAATCTCCACTAGATACTTGCTTACCGCTCGTATCACGAACAGTGCGTTGAAGGTCTGCCATGCTAACATTACACTGGACAGAAATTAACGATGATATATTTATTATTATAATTTATTTTATAGAATAAGGGTGACAAACGAGCATATACAGTTCACCTGATGGTAAGCGGATATTGTCAGCTATCGATTAAGAATCAAAATGCAGATGTGTTATCACCCCTGAGGACTAAGTTGGAATGCCTCGTTTATTGTAAAAAGGGTCTCCGGTTCTCTACACTCACGGTATTCTGTGAGAGTGTGGTCTACCCTGGTCGCGCCGACCCATTCGCGCTATATCCGTAATATAACTGCAGCTTGGCTCTATCACGTAAAAGATGATCACAGTTTAGTGGCAGTGTAAGAATATCAACTACCGTATATCGTACTGTAGCTGTTTTAAGAGGTGATAGAGGGAAACTGAAACAGGAAATCAGTAACAACTCGCAGCGAGTATTATTTATTTATTTATTTATTTATTTATTATTGGACAACACAACAGATTACATCATGACTTAAAGCTATAACTTACAATAATAATAGTGTAATACAAGACATAATCCTTATACGTGTTATCACGGCATGCCAAGATTGAGAAACAAACATTTTAAATAAAATTGCTTAAACTAACAGGCTTATAAATCCAACAAATTAAGAACTATAATTTTAGTGAATATCAATCAAAGGGGATATCCTTGAGAATGCCTTTCAAAACAGTTCTAAAGTGAACCAGACTAGAGTTGAAGATGTCAAGGTTGGTAAATCGAAGGCTATAATTCTCATAAAGTCGACATAACCTTGATAGGGGTTGATTCCGGGAGATATTATTTCGCGATAGGGGTATGTCAAATATTTTTTTCATAGGTCTACGTGGGTTGTGTTTTATGTTAAAATTTAACAGTTCCAAAACCTCGGGACTGTCCAGTTCCGAGTGTATTATTTTGTGTAGGTTAACTAGGTCCAATTCGTCGCGACGGAGGTGAAGTGGTGTCATGTCAAACTCTTTAAGCCTCTCAGCATATGACCGGAGTCTTCTATTGTTGCCGGTACGTAAGCTCAATAAACGCAAAAACTTGGATTGGATCGATTCAATGCGCTCAGAGTGCACTGCGTAGTATGGGTTCCATATTATTGAACTATATTCTAAATTACTTCGAACCAGACTGTTATATAACAAAATTAAACTTTGAGAGTTCCTGAAGTGCCTGCTCTGTCTGGTAACGAAACCTAGTACCTGGTTAGATTTTTTGGCTATGAGATCGTAATGTTGGCGGAAACTAAGCTGTTCGTCAAACAAGACCCCGAGATCCCTGATAGACGACACACGAGACAGAGTTTGTTGTTCTATGATATAATTGTTTGATACCTTGTTTTTTTTAAGTGTGTAGGTGATGACATAGCATTTTTTGACATTAAGGAACATTTTATTTTCTTTGCACCAATTAGACAGGCTGTTTAAGTCTTCCTGTATGATGCGTGTGTCGTCAGCTTCACCAATTCTATTGAATATTTTTAGGTCGTCAGCATATAATAGGCAAGGGGACTGAATTTTACCAATGAGGTCATTAATGAAAGTCACAAAAAGTAACGGGCCCAAATGGGATCCTTGAGGAACACCAGACTTAATGATAATTTCTTCTGATGTGTACCCCTTGACGGTTACGAGCTGACTCCTGTTTTTCAAGTAGGACTCGAGCCAACGCAACAGACTGCCATGTATACCATACGACTCAAGTTTCTTACATAAAATTGCGTGATCCACTTTATCGAACGCTTTCTTAAAGTCGGTATATATAGCATCTACCTGACCACGGTTGTTAAAAGCATCGCATATGTAGGTTTTGAAGTTAAGAAGGTTACTGACTGTCGATCTCCTTTTGATGAATCCGTGCTGCTTAGTTGATATAAGAGGTTTTAAATGAAAATAGAGATGATCAAATACTACTGATTCAAATAATTTGGATACTGCTGACAAAATGCTTATGGGTCTATAATTTTCACCGTTGGCTCGGTCACCAGATTTAAATATAGGGACAATGTTAGCTTTTTTCCAGCGAGAAGGGAACACACCGCTGTTCAATGATTTATTAAATATTAGCTGAAGCGGGCGACACAGTTCATCTGCGCATACCCGCAGGAATATAGGTGGAATGCCGTCAGGGCCAGCTCCCTTGTTGGAGTCAAGACGCCTCAGTTTTGATAATATTTCGTTCTCAGTTAGTACGATTTTAGTGAGAAGACTATTTGTTTGACTACAACAATCGTATATCCCCGATCCGTGACTGTGATCTTCGAATACTGACCCAAAAAATTTTGAAAACATATCGCAGATTTCCCTACCACCAGTAGCCGTTGTTTCACTAAATGTCATTGAGTCGGGGAAACTCAAGTTATTGCGTCTCTTGCTGTTAACGTATCTCCAAAACGACTTAACGTCTTTTGTCAAACCATTTTCGATAGATCTGATGTATTCATTGTAACAACAATTTATGAGTTTTTTGCATCTAGCCCGGAGGAGAGAGAATGTATCGTAATCTCGTGGGTTTTTGTATTTTTTGTAGCGCACGTGGTATTTGTTTTTTTCCCGCATACAACGACGCAAGCCAGGACTGAACCATTTGGGATATTTATTTGAGCGGTTCTTAACTGTGGGAGTACAATCGTTAATAATTTCATAGATCACATAGTAAAATCTAGCCACAGCCTCATCTACGTCTGCCCCATAAAGTAGATCTGACCAGTTGGTATCATTAATTCTCTGCTTTACAGTTTCATATTGGCATTTATAGAAATTTAGACGCTTTGACTCATTGACCTTCAGAGGTTTATAATTAAAAGAATTTGAGTCTTGAAAATCAATAAGTAAGGCAGGGTGATGTTTATCTTCTTTTAATGAGGTCTTCTCGTTGGTGATGGTCATATTTCCGGAAGTGCTAAGAGCAAGATCTAGTATCTTATTGTTATTATTGGGGATGGAGTTAAACTGTGACAGATCACAGAGTGCCACAGTATCTAACAACAGTTCGCTCTTGTAGTCCATCTCATTGCAGCTAGCTGTCATACTGCCATGGCTTGACAGAATCCATGAGACATTGGGTACATTGAAATCGCCAAATAATGCAAATGAATTCTGTTCATTTGATTTTAGGATAATGTTTTGAAGATTTGAATAGAAGTTTGACAGGTCATTTTTATTTAGATAGGGAGGCAGATAGCAAACACATACATTAATTGTCTGACCATTAATTTTAGGAGGCAATATGCTAATCCAGATATCCTCTAGTTCGCTTTCCCAGGAGACCTGTCTGACGGCAGAGTAATGTTTTTTAACTGCTACGAGGACACCGCCTCCATCGTCTTTATTATACTTTTTAATACAAGTGGTATCGCGATCTCTACGGAATATATTGTATTGCTCGTCAAACAGTTCCCCATCGTATACAGAAGCATCGAAATTTGTTTCAGTTAGACATATTAAATCGTAATGAGAGTTCAGAAAGTTTTTATAAAGTATATCTATTTTACTTCTAGCTCTATTGAGATTTTGATAATATATATGCATTTTTAAAAATATGTAAAAAGATACCAAATAAATGCTTTGAGTTTAATATAGATTTCAAAAAGAAAAAAAAAAGAAATACTTAAATTAGACTACTCATAATATAGGGTTATTAGGCGGCAGCTTTGATAAAGAACTAGTGTCTCTTATGAGTATAGCAGGGGATTCTTCATTTTTACGAACATAGACGCGACCGTATTTTACCCAGACAAATTTGTAGTGGTTAGTTTTAGTCCATTGTCTTGCCGCGGCGTGTACTGCCTTGCATTCAGCTGATAGGTGTTCCGATACGTAAATACTGTATTTTTCGCCAACTAAGCCCATATGAGATGAGTTTAGCGGACACAACTTGTTTGCTTTATTATATCTTCGCACTGCAGAGATAATAGTGTCGCGGTGAAGTTCCGAGTGCAGCGTTGCAATAATATTGCGGGGACGGTCTGACGAAGGGTTCATCTTTGCAACACGGCGGATAGATTTTATGTCTGGATGATTTTATGGATGGATGTTATGAACTGTACTAGACGAAATTCAATTTCTCATTCAATATTCAGTTTTGGGTCAACATTCTGCACCACACATCCAAATTTCAGGGGTGTCAGTAAGGACATATTCCATCTACGAGCTAGAAATTCGTAACATACGGAAAAATGGACAGACAGACAAACGGAAAGCAGAATGACAATAATGTGGCTCTGTTTTTTATCCTTTGGGTACCCAGTAAACTCCGAAATAGTGGATTTCTTTGGTTCAATGATAATTTTAAAACGTTATCAAGGAATATGAAACTCAAACCATGTTGACGATGACTGGTATTTGTGTTGTCATTCTTATCTTTAACATATACATATATAATCTTTAACGAATATATGATGATTAATATTTATTACTTATGTTAAAATGAGTAATAATCCTGATTAATTTATGTTATCCTTGAAAAACAAATAACATTAAAGTATGAAGATAATGAAATATTGTTTTTAAAAAGTAAAACATATTATCATTGAAGAGCAAAAAATTCATTATTTGACTAAAACAAGAAATTAAAATAAGCTTATTACTTCAATATTAGAAAATTTATATTTTTCTATTTCAAAAATTCTTTTTGGTAAAGGGTATTATGACAGTTTATCAAAACTGTTATCCTTAAACTAATTATTTATGGTGTTTAGGGCTTTTTATATGATCAATAATAAACTACTTTGGCAAAAACTCCTCACAATGACTACAAGGTCATCAGCTTAACCCAGTGTGTCAATGTGAAGGTCTGCCATCTTGTACAATAATTGGTCAACTGCAAGAGTCTAAAGAAGGGGTGACAATACACCTCCTTGTGAACAGCCTCTCGTAGCTGCTACACATCAAAGTTTGAAACAGCGCCATTTTTTCTATTATTATTCTTATTGCTATTAAATGCTCATACATGCATGATGATGTTCTATACATACATACATTTTATTTATATTGAAGTTGGTTGTGTAAAATTTTTAATTTTACCACTTTTTTAAACTAGAACTGGAACAAGAGATGTTACCCCAATAACTCATGAATATTCTAAGAGTAGACGTTTCCATTAGTCAACCCTTGCAGTCTGTAATAAATGATGGAGTAACTTATTTTTGTCCTGACTATCAAATAGAATATTTACGTGGTAGAGTCATGCTGCAGCTATATTAGTAGTATAGTTGTAGCACGAATGGGTCTGCTCGACCGGGGAAGGACCACGCTCTCACAGAATACCAGCGTTAAATGGCAGCTTCATACTGCTGTGTTTTGTATGGTGAGTGTAGAGAACCGGAGACCCATTTTACTGGAAAAGTGGCATTCCATCTTAGTTCTCACGGGTGACGACGCATCTGCATTGTAATTCGGAAACGAAGATAGATGTAGATGTCTATGGGCCACAGCAACCACTTACCATCAGGTGGACTGTGTGCTCGTTTGTCACCTTAATTCTATAAAAGAAAAAATATTGCAAGTATACATTAAATTACAATGCCAACATTATGAAAAGCGTATTAAGTAAATACAAGAGACAGGACACTGTTAAATCAACATTCTTTATTTATGTATCTTTTAACATTCATTATATATAAATAAGTTACTGACATTTCTTGCTTACTCACTTATCACTGTTAGGTGCTGCAAGTAGTTCAGTGGCACGTGTAATAAACACCTGTACTAGTGAGCCGAGATTACCAGTTTGCAAATTATTTTGTAGGAACTCCTGTAGCAGTGCTTCAGTGCTTGAGTCAAATATTAACTGCTCATCGCTGCAAATGAATATGTCAGTATTTAAAATGAATGATATAAAATAAAGATGAATGTAACCATCGATATATATGTACTACGTACTAGATTGCGCATTCCGAACATACACTATGTTCAACTGAACTGTACTGCAATCCGTACAGTGTGTCATTTAGTGTGGTTTCAATCTACTAGTTAGTCTGTGGTTTCAATATTCATGAAGTGTGAGCGGCGCTAAAGTAAAATTATTTGTTGTTCAAGTGAATAAATAGGTAATAATATCGTAATATTACAAAAGAAAATATATGAAATAATATATTTCTTTATATAAACTGACCGCGCAGGCGCAACGTGCTTAAATCAACTGCGCATGCACGACTTTACTAACTTCCGCGCATGCGTGAAGACATAGAGTAGTGCACATTTTTTGTTTAGAAAGGCTTCTCTAGTACGTAGTACATATAACTCAATGAATGTAACAATTTACTATAAGCTGGTCTTATATGGCATAAAAAGTACATGCTTAACACTTTCACTGTCCAGTTTTCAGACACGATAGTAAAACAATAGAGATAACCTATATTTAGTGCATGGGACATCGAAAGGGTTAATATTAATTTTAAACACAATTTTAGGTTAGGCAATTTGACATATTCATAGTTGATATAGAGTACATTTAGCATTAATTATTAAGTTTGGTGCATCTATCTGTCCCTCTATCAAGATCCTTTTTCTCAGACAAACAGACAGACGATACCCCTACCTGTACACAAAAGCTAGAATTTTTACATCTATAAGAGACTGCAGACTTTAATTTATTTTATAATTGCAACTTGATGCCTCTTCCTGAGTAAAATAGTCTTTACAGACTGAATAATAGACAGATAGATTTACAAAAATGTGATTCTATAATGGTTCTATTTTATTGCTTGAGGTATGGAATCCTAAAAATGAATATTAAAATTAAAGAAAGAATATTAGCAATATTTGTATAGTGGACCCTCGGTAATCTGGCCCCTGGCTAATCCGACCCCCCTTGTAACCCGACATGCCTTTAACATGTAGGTTCAATCGATTCGCGTTATGATTCCGCCACAGGGGAGGTGTCCTTCGCTAATAGGTGGACAAACAGAATGCAATTTGTTCATGCCACCACACTTGATGATTAGTTTCTGTTTAAATGTGACTATGGTAGCGGCTTAGCTGGCATTTATTACATATGAGTATTTTTTTAATTATTTTATATTTAATATGTAATTTGTCGGATTACATGGTACTCTTTTTCAAAAAGTTCCAGCCTACCAGGGGGCTGTGGTAGTACTCTATAGTCCGACAAATTTGATAATGCAAAACTGCCTTGCAAAATGTTTGTTGGATTAATGCAAGTCAAACAAATTACTTCTTTCAAAATTTTGCACACTAATAGATTTTGCATAGGCTGAAGATCAAATGATATAGAAATTGTAAAACATGATTATAGTTATACTTCATTTCAAACGAAATCAAAAACAATTTAAACAAACATGGTGAATGTCCCATGCCTGATAATCCAAATTAAACAAATATTTAAGTATAGCAAAAAAAATCTGATGATAACACCTTGATTATAAAGAGTTTAATCGTTGAAAATTCGTAATTTTATGTATTATACTTTTTAAGAATTGTAGAGTGCACAGTTCACCTGATAGTTAGTGAATATTGTGGCCCAGATACACCTCTATCTATCTTCGATTCAAAGTTATTATTTAAAATGCATTGTCACCCCTTAGGACTAAGATGGAATGCCTTCTTACTAGTAACAAGGGTTTCTGGATTTCGCCACTCACTACATGAAATGGAACAGCATTATGCTGCTATTTCACACTGTAATTCTGTGCGACCATGGTGGTACCAAAGAGAATACTAATAAGTAGTCTGAAACATTTATTAAACTGATACCAAACACCGTCTATTACTCAAAACAGGGATTTAAAACATATTTTGCAGATTATTGCGTATTATTAAGGAGTATGTTAGGGATGAAGCTGAATGACAGAGTGAGAAATTGTTTAATAAGAGAAGAGTGTGGTTTGCAAGATGATGTTGTGACCAGGATTAAGAAAGGAATGCTTCGGTGGTTTGGCCATGTAGAAAGAATGAATGAGGAAAGAGTGACAAAGCAAATTTATGTTGCAGAGGTGAACGGCATAGTCGGGAAGGGTCGCCCTAGGTGAAAGTTTATTAACCAAATTGGCAATATATTAAAAATGGGCCAAATCAAGAGTACCTGTAACCGACGAGCGTGTATGCGTAGGTATATGGATGTGGAGGAAGTGAGAGAGGTGTGTCAGGATCGTGCCAAATGGAAGTCCATAATCTCTGCCTACCCCTCTGGGTGACAGGCGTGAGTGTTTATGTATGTATTGCGTAAGAACTTCTGGAGAAATGCTTCAGAACTTGAATCAAATATTATCTTGCCAAAGATTTAAAAAAAAAATCTTATTGTTCTACACAAGTCTCTAAAAATTCACTGCTGAACATGGCCTCTCCTCTTGTAGGGAGAATAAGCCCTATTTGTCACATTTGGCAGGCAGATTGATGATGACATTTTGCACCTTTGAGACTTTGATGCTTTGTTCCCCACCAATAAACTTTACTGAATACAAAAAAAAAATTGTGTCAAAGTATAAAATTGTGTCAAAATACTTTGTTTGGTCTTTAACAAAAGTAATTCTTTTGTGCCTAATAGATTTAAAATTTTATTAGTAAATAATACCAATAAAAACTATTTGGACATTTTACCAATTCCTTTAAACAATCTTTTTTTTAATTTTTTTTTATACATAACTTAGGATTTTCTCCTGTATTGAAGTAGTGGGAGTTTACCAACATAAATTGCACAAGGACAAACATCCAAACCCAGAACAATTATTTGTAGGCCATACAAATACATGTTCCGTGAAGGATTCGAACCCGCAGTCCTTACCGCTGCAACATAATTGCTAAGCCACTGTGCTACAGAGCCGCAACTTCAATCGATTCAATTAAACAATCACTTAATTGATTTTTGAAGTGGTACACCCTTAGCCAATGTAAGTTTAGCCAGATTGGGATATGAAATATGTTTTTATAACACAAAAGCTACTGTTCTTAAATGATTAAAGAAAGTGATTAAATTTGGTTGATTTGAAATAAAATGTACAAGAAATAAATAATAATAGTGTATCATAAAGAAATGTAAGTATGAATTTTATATATGTTTATGTAATAAGTGAAAAATAGTTATTTTCTCTATTGTTTGCATTCTTTCTGACTTAATTTAAAAGAGATTATACATACAAATATCATAAACATGCTAAAAACAAATTATGGTCTTAAAAAACGATGTGTATTAAAAGGTAACTTACGTATTGTTTGGCAATTGTATATTAAAAGCCAGTAACTGATTCCAAAAGGGGTCATTTGGACAAATGATTTCTGAAGAGCAAAAGCGTGCTAGGAGTTCATTGGTTGATATGTCGGAATATCTACTTATAGCCACTCCCATTTTATTTCTGCAAATTGAAATTATGTTTTGAAGAAAAAACATGCATTACAACAAACTAACGTGAGGACGTACCACGCTATACCATGCATTTATTTATAATTTTTTTTACTAGATTTGATTTAGTAGAATGGATCATTTATGCTTAACTAAGCTTGCCATGATTAAGTTAAACTTCATACTTCATGGCCAGTTTAACCTTGCCATGGCAACGTCTTCTGAATAATGACTGGAACTTAACGTTTTAAATATCCTTTTGAAATCATCGCTTCAATTTAAATTTATGCTTATGGCGACTGAACTCTAACATCATAAAGAAAAAGAGGCTTCTCCGCTTCAATGGAAACGGACTTTTAATATGTTATTAAAAACAGGGAACATGTTATTACTATATTTAAAAGTAATTTCAGAAGGTATGTATTCATAGCATTTTGCATGGACTGTGAAAATAATGAGGCCTATGATGCCTTTTTACGTGTTGAATGTTAATTAATATTTTACCTTTTACTATTTAATGAATTTCACCGAATTGTTTGCTTGCGCCACGAAATCATCGTAGATTTGTCATAATTCAAATGTCAATGTCATCATGTGTCATGTCATGTCAAGTGTCGGTTTGATTTTTAAATTTATTGCTGCAATGGCTGCAATGCCTTCAGCCAAATAAAATTACATCAAACGCTGCAATACATTTTAGGAAAAATAAATATGATACTTAACAAATTTCTTCATAATATGTTGGTAACTGATGTAACGCAAATTGCTAAGTTTTTGGAAATTTAAATGTCAGATTAAGCCAGCCAGCAGTAAATGACAATCAAGTTCCCGCAAAAACTCCCATCTTCCATGCCCCTAGTGTAAGATTTAGGTTTTGATCGGTAAGATTAGGCTGATGCAATTTTCAAACTAAATAGTAAATATCCGAAATCACTCCACTAAGGCATGCTGAAGTAAAGCAACCGTGATGGGGTAAAGAACTTGATAGAAAACGTAAGAAGGTAAGAAAAGCCCTAAATAGGGCCATGACTACCTCAATGGATGAAGACTGGCTACTATATAAGAAAGCTAAGTCTAAATACACAAAATGTATCAGGTATCGACGCTCGACATGGTGGCGTAACTTCTGTGGCAACATAGAAACCTGCGAACAAGCTAATATGATAAGGAATATCCTAGCTAAACAGAACACGCCGGGATCCATCTCTCTATAGAAACTCGACGGAAGCTACTCAACATCGCCGGATGAAGCCCAACGCATCCTAATTGAAACGCACTTCCCAGGTTGCTGCGTAACTCAGGAGGCAAACCGGCAATATACTGACACCGACAGCAAAAGACTGGAATTTAGCACAGAGAGTGGTAACTATGGATAAAATAAAAAAAACATGGGCCATTCACAGTTTCCTCCACTATAAGGCGGCAGGACGTGACGGCATATTTCCGACACTCCTACAGTGGAGGGAGGGGGGGGGGGTAAAAAAGAATGCTGAACAACTATCATCTCCAAGTCTTTACAGCACAAAACTCCAGCTATCTTCTGAGGTAAAATATTTAGGTCTTTCCTTGGACAGCAAACTTAACTGGAATAAACACATAGAAAACAAAATCAACAAAGCTAATATAATTTTCTAGCAAATATTTTTACATATTGGCAAAAGATGGGGTCTGACGCTAAAAATTATATTGTGGCTGTACAAAATTGTAATTTGGCCCATGATCACATATGGCGCTCTGGTATGGTAGCCCAAGACAAATGAAGCCACCACTATAAAGAAGCTTCAGCGCTACGAGAGACTGGCATGTATGGCTGCCACAGGCAATATATACCCCGCTTCATCTACATATATAACAAGAAGTAACCTTAGCTACCATCAGACTCAAGACCTTAAATCTTTGAAGTAAGAATAGTGTCTCTCATACGGGCATAATTGATAGAATCCACTCATTAATTTCTATCTTACAAGCCAAGTACGATAAGATCCCTAAACAATTTGTATTCGATAAGAAGTACAAGATACAATTAAATGAAACCAGCCAGCCGGGAGGATTAAGCCCAAAAGAGCTTAAAGTTTTCACCGATTGTTCTAAAACAAATAAAGGTGTAAGATCTGGAACTTTCTTTGAAGACCTCTGGGTACCTACAACACAGTCTTTCAGGCGGAATGTATGGGTATCATTCAAGCGGCCATAGCAATAGATGCTAGGAAGCTTAATCACTTCTCCATCAGAAGACCGACAGACAGGTGCTACAATCTCTGAAATGCAATGTGGTGAATTTGGGACTAATATATGAATGCCATCAATGATTAAATGAGGTATGTAAACACAACAATGTGACTCTGCAATGGATAAAGGGACACAGCGGATCCAGAAGCAACGATGCATCAGACGAAATGGCCAGAAGAGGATCGGCTCTAGCCACTATAGGGCCGGAACCAATCGTACCAATCCCCTTTGGTAACGTTCACTGGTACGTAGACACTTCACTAATAAACACGCTCAGCTTTGGAAAAATGTAGTAGACTGTAGACAAGCTAGGGAGGCCCTGCCTGAAATAAACAGTCGTTTAACCAAAGTTCTAATGAGGCTGAAGCCGCAGATCAGGATAGTAACAAGTGCTATCACAGGACACGGCACCTTTAACAAACATTTATTTACCATAGGTGTTACAGATAGTCCCCTGTGCAGGACATGTATGGGGGAGGAAGAAAAGGCGGCCCATGTGTTGCTGAAATATCCGGAGGTCGCTACTCGCTACATACAGTGCTAAGCATCTCGGCACGCTGAGAGCATTCTCCGAAGTTGCATGCAGCATCAAAGGACTGTTGAACTTCTTCGAGGAGATCTCATGCTTCTCTCAATTACATTATTCCTGCCCACACGCAAAATACGCGCTTAGACGTGTAGTTGCTGAAAACAGCCCGTCGTAAACTAAACTAAACTAAAAGGTATGTATGAAATATACATATATGTATGAAACATGTCAATACATAGAGGGAATTGGTATGTTTTATGTTAACAAATGTAATTTTGACACTGTCGGTTGATTATTGATCTTGGCCTCACGGAGTTATCAAAATACAATGTCGGGACTATTTGACGTAGACGTAGTCATTATTTACTCCATAGAATTTTGATTATTCATTGTATGCGTTAGCTAGGGATGTACATTTTACTTACTAGGACTATCGAAAAATGGTTGTTAGGAAGCGGTAAAAGGATTTAAAAAAATTGTTTAGTGCACGCAATTGAATAACTTCAAAAATGAACTGACTTTTTACCATGATAGTTCTAAAATAATTAAAAAATATTCATATAACATGTTCCTGGTATATATCCCCATTTCTAAGTTTATCACGCAGAGAAACTCCGAGCATAGCCCTCTCCATAGCTTGCTGAGCGACCTTAAGCTTCCTCATCGAGCCAGCAGTGAAAGACCACGTCTCAGTTCCATAGGTCATCACTGGCAAAACGCACTAGTTGTACAGTCTCGTTTTCAAGTTTTGAGGTATATCTGACTAGAAGATGTGCCGTAATTTCCCGAATGCTGCCCAGTTGAGTTGAATCCGTCGCTTGACCTCTCGGTCGCAGTTGGACTTACGTAGTACTATTTGTCCCAGGTGAACATACTCGTTAACAATTTTGACTTTAGTGCTTCCAACAACTACCGGCATAAGTGTGACATGGACGTTATACATGATTTTTGTTTTGTCCATGTTCATCTTAAGACCTATCCGTTGGGAAGCACTATTGAGGTCATTGAGTTTTTAACGTGGTAGAGCCATGCTGCTGTAATATTAGTAGTATAGTTGTAGCACGAATGTGTCAGTTCGACCGGGGAAGGACCACGTTGTGAAAAAATACCAGCGTAAAATAGCAGCTTAACGATGCTGTGTTTCGTATGGTGAGTGTAGAGAACCGGAGACCTTTTTTACTGGAAAAGAGGCATTCCGTCTTTGTCTTCACGGGTGACAAGACAACGCATCTGCATTTGGATTCGTAAACGAGGATAGATGTAGATGTCTATGGGCCACAGCAACCACTTACCATCAGGTGGACTGTGTGCCCGTTTGTCATCCTATACTATAAAAAAATGCTTAGGTCCTCCAGCGATTCTGCCATAAGAACAATATCGTCGGCAAATCGAAGGCGAGTGATGTACTCACCGTTGTACCGTACCGTATTAGTACCGTGTTATTACCGTGTCCTATCCAGTACAGAAGCTTGAAAACGTCTTCCAAAGCAGCGGTGAAGAGTTTCGGGGATATCACGTCACCCTGTCTTACACCCCTCTGCAGTTGGAAGTCAACTAAGTATACACTTTTTTATGTTTTATATATTTTACAAAATGTTTTGATGAAGAAATACAAAACGGGGACACGGAGTATATAGTGACTGCTGTATTTTTCATATTAGTTTAACTTTTGATAATTATAAACATTTAATAATTAAATAGATTAGAGAAGTTTATTTTAACATTCGGCTTAAATATGAATTTAAACTTAATAATTTAAGTAAGGAAAGGATTGAGCTAAAAGAACAATGGCAGACTTTCATACATAAAATTAGTTGAGAAGAAATGGTAGCGTCTATATACCAAAAATATCTTAAAATGTTAAGCGTCAGTCCCTTAATAACTCTGTCAAAGAATTTTGTACTGAGAAGGCGTCAAAAAAAAGATATTTACATTTGAACCTTTTTAGGTTATGTCCTTTGTAACTTGGAAAAAGTCATGCTTCCTGTGGTTGTTTGATGTAAGCTTAATACATAGTACATAATTGAGAGTTTTTAAGATTAATGTATCTCTATTATATATTTGCATACTATAAATGTATATTTCTGGCATGGCTCCAGGGCTTTTGTACCATAGTGACATTCTCAGAAGGGCTAGAACCTAGAGCCGTAAAGCCAATAAAAAAAACAGTGACATTTTATTTTAGCTAGTGTTGGCATAACATTAAATGGAATTGTTACATAGTACTATGATTGAAATAATGTATTATTGTAGGAAATTCTTTGTAAGAGACTTATTCTCAGCCATATTACTTTTATTTTTGTTATTAGTGATAGTACAGTTATTACTAATAATAACTTAATATAAAAATAGTTTGTGTGTTGTGTTGTTAGTGTTACAAAGTGTATACGAAAATAGTAGGAATATAGTAAATGGCAACATTTGAATATAGTAAAATGATTTTAGTCATTTGATATTCCCAAAAATGTTTGTTTTTTTCTGTGGCTTTAATTAAATTACATTTATATTTGAAAAATCATAGAAAAATAATAAAACTCATTTTATATATAACTTATTTCTAGACGCTATAATTTTTGTCAACTATTTTTCTGCCATTGCTCTTTTGCATATACGTTCAATTTAGATAGCAATAATAATAATAATAATAATAATCTTTTTTAAAACATATAGGTTACAAACAAATGGTTGCACTGATTCCCAAACTAGGATTAAAATAAACAAATTTACGAAAGTAACAATCAAGAAATATATTTATTATGCGGAACAATAAATAAAGGGTTTAAAAAACTATTAGGACTTTGTAAGTTT